AGAGAGTTGCAGATGTGGTCTGCAACTGCAGCTGTCCGCATGCGAGAGGAGCAAGAAGTGGCTGCCAATCAATGGCAACAAGCCAGTGATAAGACAGTGAGACAGTTTAGACGAGAACAACGAAGAGCCGGACAAGGGGCCAAGCTTGTTTTGCCCTGAATCCGGTCGACTGATTGATTAATTGACTGTCCGGCCCAAGACAACAAAACAATGAAACATATATTGGTGGAAACCACTCGCTCAGAGACTTTGCCTCTGGGCTGGTTTTGACGTTGCATTTTCAAACTTATTGACCAAGCCAACATTGCATCCATTCAAAGTCTCAAGTTGCGAGCAACAAACCCCGACGCCGTGTTGATGATCTGGGAAGTAAGCCAATTAGACAAGAGACGGCTACCTGAGCATGCATTTCTCATCCGCTTCTGCGCTACACCACAACCCCATTGAGAAAGATCAACCGCTTGCCGTTGGAAGCTTTCATTCTAATCTTGTCGAACGTCTTGCGTTGATGTAGTGGGCGTTCAAAACTAACACGTAGGCTGTCGACGGTGGGTGGCTGTGGCTGAGCCCCACGTGCTCAAGCTTGTGTCTGTATCGTGCCATCTGCCGACCGTTTGCGACGAGGCTTGCCACCGTCGGACGAACACGTTTTCTGGCCGTCGTGGATTGGACTTTGATGCGAGCTGACGCTGGTGGTGGCGGGCTTGGAATGCTAGCACGCACTCGGCCAAACTGCCTGCCAGAAGGTGATGAGCAACGATGCCACGAGGCATACGAGGGCGGGGCACGCAACAGACACGCTGATGCCAATGAGCAACAGCCAGAACTCGGATGAAGGGGCGGATTTGTTGAGGGATTGTGTCGGAATTGCTTCATCGGATTTTTACGAGACTTTGCCTTTGGTGGAGGACCTGGCTGCTGGGGCCTGCAGCAGGGTAAGGGTATTGTGTCCCAAACGGACCTGGGCGTTTTCATGACACCTGAAATATACCCCAAACTAGCAGAAGCACTGATCGATCGCTGGATCGTGACAGGGGAAGCGCTGCAAAAGTTTTCTCCCGCGCTTCCATGCATGCAGCGTTATTTTGGAGCAATACTTTGCCTGGGGTACATCTCCTGCGTCCACAACGTATGACTATACGTCAAGCCAATTTCGACAAAAAAAAAAAAAGAAGAAAAAAAATACAATGGCTTGGTTGCAGGAATGAGGTCGGCAGACTAATGGCATGATTCATGACATCTGGCAGTTGGTGCGTATGTTGTGCATCTATCTACCCGGCCGTGCATACGTGGTATTTCGCTGTAGACATGGCACAGTCCAACGGCGATTCCGTCGCCAGGGCTTCCACGTTTAAGAACGGCCCCTTATTTTCGGCCCTTTCTTTCTATAATCTGCGTCGGAAGGGTTCACTTTTTGATTTGCCACAATTCCATATTTGTTCTGGCCTATCCGTGTTCATCGCCATAATACGGACACACTCGTGATTTTAGCAAACTTGGTATCCGAAGTCGATGGGCTGCCCAGAAGAATATAAACACTTTTCAAAGAGGCCGTCGAAAATCCATCTCAAGATGTCTTACTGGTCGGTAAAGCAAATAGGAGGAACCCAGTCTAGCTAATGACGATCAAGACAAGAACGCGCCAAGGATGCTGGCGAGAAGAATTGGATGACAACCACGCGATGGGAATTATCGTCGCGCGTCAAAATGGTTCCGTGTGTATGTATCTGCGTATGTGTTTTTTCCCCCTAAAAGAAGGGTGTAGGTACGTGCGACAAGGGTGTCTCCACTAGGAAGAAAATGGTAGGGGGCAAGAGGGGAGGGGTGGTTTCTTAAGGTTATTGATGTCGTCATGGTTCGAAAAAGGAACACATATAGAACTTTCTCTGCATCCGTTTTGACAGTGCTTTGCATTGCGTGGCTCAGGTCTGTGTGCTGTTGGGGTAGTGTAAAAGTCAGCAGCACATCCCTTGTCAATGGCCCGGATGGAACATATCGAAGACGAAGACGAAAGGGAATAAAGCACGGCATTGTGGCAAATTGCTTGCTTCTAGAACTCTGCTTGTCTTGGCTTAGTGCACTTGCGTCCCACGAGCAATAGCGAAAAGGGGGGAAGGGAGCAATCATTGGTTGATACGTCTTTTCGCCAAAATCTCCGTCTGCGGCAGCAGCCCTGCCAGCCATGCCAGCCCCTTCCTTCCCTCATCTTCCCTGATCGGGCGGGGGGGCGGGTGCGGGTGCGGGTGGAACGCATCATTGGCACAACGGAAGGTATCAGCAGCCATTGAGCGAACTTCGACATGGACCAGGACATCAGCAGATTCGCGCTGTACAGGGCGCCACAGACAGGTCAGTCCCAGGAAAGGGAAGCCCTAGTGTGACCTGACCCAACGACACCTCAGAAATTTCCGTAGCGCCGACGGCCTCGCCGGGTGCCCTAATTTCCAGATTCTGACCATGCCCGTCAACGGCGCAAGTGCATTCGCCAAACGCCAGTTTCCTTCGACTGCCTGACTTTTGGTCCGTCTGTAGCCACCCGTACTACGTATCCTCACTCTTCCCCCCTACCGAGGACACCAGCCTTGGTGTCCTTACAATAGGCCGGCATTGTGCTGCATTTCTGCGGTTGTAGTTGTACGAGTCAAACAACACTCAACGATACAGAGTAGATAAATCGATTACCTGGATGTACATACATACCCACCCAGACACGTGTGTACTATTGGACCAAAAAACCTCTAGGCTATGCCGGCCGACTATCCCAACAAGCCAGCTTTCACACCGTTATGCAACCTGACGGTGCCTGTTTCTCGGCATGTCTGAGCTAGCCTAATTAACACGGGCAGCATCCGTCTGCACGAGCACCCGACAAGATCGTACTGGCCTTTTTTTTTTTTTTTTTTTTTTTGTATCGGCTGCTTGGCTACATTGAAAGGGGGATGATAACGAAATGCTAAAAAATAAAAAATAAAAATTCAGGTCATATCTCCAACTGCACGGGAGAAGCCAGTCAACAAGTATGGACACAACCTATTTTTGCCTAGGTAGGTAGGTAGGCATTCAGTACTCTGCTGTCACTGCCTTCGCTTGGTCTCTTTCCCAATCCTCTCGTCTACGTTTGTTCTCGTTTCCTGTAGCGCTGTGATGGATCCATATCAGTTGCCAAAGCGGGACGTTTTGACAGTGACCCATCTGACTCTTCAACGCAATTCCTTAGATATCTAAAGGCATCAACAGTTCATTGACCGCATTGGCAGCAAATTAAGAAACGCCAGCCTAGCAACGTTGTCTCCACGTTCAACGCGCGCCAAAGAGCTGGGTGTACAGCGCGAGGGACTGGACCCTCGACTAAGTAATCCTTACTTAATGTACTAGTCAGCATCCAGTCACTTGTGAGTTGTTGCCGTCGCTTGTCTGCCTCTCAAACTGCCAACCGCTCACGAAGTCGTCTTGTCTTCATTTCCACCCGTTGCTGGCCGGAGTTCTCTATTCCGCCCCTTGCAAGTTGAAGACCAGATGCGCAGCCGCTTTGCCTCGATTCGTGAACCCAACAACTCCCGGCTTGGTTGGTACAGCGCATCGCTTTCGGCCAGCCCGTCTCCGATGATAGCCTCACCAGTGAAGCGCAGGTCACTTCCCTGCGATTTTTGAAATTTTTTTCCTTCTCACGCCGGGTTTGGACGGAGCGCAGGTTTGGCAGGAACATCCCGCAGATCGAACCCCTTTGTATTCCCCGTTGCCCTGTCACCCTTTCATCCTTGATAACATGACACCTGAGTAGCATCCTCAATGGCGACTATCACAATGTTTTTTTTTTTCTGCGTCGTGTTGACAGCTTAAGGGTCGTGTTCGGCCTTGTCGGCTGCGGAGTGCCCGCTGTGCACGAACCCCCGCGGTATGCCCGCCACGCCGCGGTTTGTCCCATGCGCCCTACTCATTTTTCACGTTTGACCTCTGTAAGTCGCCACCAGGAAGCGTCAAACGCTTCAACAATGCACCTTCCTGAGTCGCTGGGTCCTTTTGACTCCGATCCCACCTCTTCCCGTCCCTTGGCAGCTGCCTCAACTTGTGTCACGACGGGCAACGGAACGCCTGAACCCTGAGCAGATCGTGGGCCACGCTTGGCGGACATGGCGGAGCTTTTTGGTACTGGATGTATGAGGAACCGCCTCTCGTCCCGCGCCCGAAGCTACTCCACACTGCTCGTCTTCCGCGCCTGAAACTGCCTGCCTGCCTGCCCACCTATTGCCTGCCGCAAGATATAGCCAAATCTTTAGCTGAATACCATCATGATTGGTGTCGTCCAATATTTCACTAGCCTGTAGGCCCGGCCTGGGCTAGAATTGTAGGTGGAGATTCGTGCAAAAATCACCTCCCGGATCCGCAGAAATGAGTCAACAATCATTGGTTTTTCTCGTCGTCAGGTTGACATGAATATCGGCCGAAGGAAAACATCGAAGGAAAAGAGAGACAGGAAGAAAGAAAGAAGAAGAAATCCAGCGGCGGACCATTCTCTGGATCAGCTTCCGCCTATCTAGTCTGGTTACAAACTAATGTTAGGCTTGGAACCGAATGGCTAAGTCGACACGATTACATCTTTAACCCCTGTTTCCCTAGAGTTTGGGTGGCTGTTTCTCCTGCATTTATTGCTTCATTGCCATGATAAGACAAGCAAGTAGGCGAGTTCTACCATTCCCGATACAATCAACAATATCAAGAAGCAAAGGAGGGCTAGTTGAAATACATAAATCATTACATGAGAAACCGTCTTTCGGTTTCATATGGTATCCCTAAACCTTAAACAACTTTTGTCAACGCCCCAAAACTTACCTCACAGACTTCCTGCAAAAGTGAGGGTCACCCAAAAACCAAGTCCGAGTTTGCTTCTTGTCCTATCTGACCTCTTCCCCTATCATGCCAATATCAGAGCTCCGCGCAATTGCAAGTACGCTTACTGTTGTATGAAACTGCCACATTTGCTTATACGGCGTTTCCGTTCCTCAAAGGTCCGAGAGATCGAAATCGCCTTTGAAGCCTTTGTTCAGAAGCATCGCTGCAATCCGTAGGCGCTGAAGTGGTAGCTCATCGTTCGAGTAAGCATCAATGGCGTTGAGCCCTAGAGCCAAACATATTCCGTTGGTGATTGTAAATACCCCGCAGTCATATCCATTGTCTTGAACAGGAGCATCATGCCGTACAGTCCTCCACTCGCTTTCTCGAAAATCATCACCCAACAAGGCCTTGATCCATTCTAAGGCTCTCTTGGTGTGGATTGGCGATCCCCGCGGGTTGAGCGAATCCATGTGTGAGATTGTCCGTTTCTGTGGCCGGATGACAAGTAAAGTCCAATGGTTGCTCTTGCAGATTGGCATGAGGATCGTCTCCAAATTGAGGAAGTTGGCCTTCGTTACTCCAAACCGTCGAAGTGCTCGTTCAGTATTATGCACACCATTATCCTCTAGCCTTTTGTAGAAAAAAGAGTTCATGGCTAAGCACACCCTCTTGGTCGAGCGAATATCCACAGCACCTGCTGCTTCGTTAATATATCGATCCAGCCATAGTAGCGAGCCGTTGACAATCTCGTCGTTTAACCATTCAGTCTCGGGAACGACTTTCAAGAAATCGTGCCGCCTCAGCTCAACACTCTCAGCTGTAACTGATAGTACCTGATGAGGCTGGGCCCGAACTGTATCCTGAACTCGCTGGGACCAGTTTGCTGAAAGTGGCGTGACCAGACGTTTCCGAGGGACACGTAGCCCACCAGTCTTGCGTAGCTTTTCTTCATCTGCTTCTTTGGCTTTTCTGGCTTCTTCAGCTTTTCGTTGAGCTTCGTCCTCATCGAGCATTAGTTGTAAAGCGGCACTCAAGTCGTCAAGCTCGCCCTCTTTATCGTCTGAAATTCTTAAGCCTGCGAGTGTTGGAGGGCTGAGTGGGCTAGCCGGGATCAACGTAGATTCGTCCCCTCTGGGTGGGTTATTGGTTTTGTGCCCGTCCAAAGATTCATTCAAATGCTGCACAAGTTTCAGTCGGCATCTAGTCATGGTATCTTCCTCATCACTACCCCCCGCTGTGTTGTCCGTCTCCAGGTCTTTGCTCAACTTCTCGCTTGGCTTCCCACATTTCCGACTGTCAGGAGATCCGCCAGTTTGTATGTTGCCTGAAACACTATTATCTTGGGCATATCGGAGTGAAGAGCTGAGGGGATTGTCATTGCGAGAGCCGAATATCTTATATAAGAAGCCTGCCGGTTTGGCTGGCGGGGGCAAAGACCGGCTCGCAGATGTTAAGAATTGTACCTTCTTCAAACCTCGAGACCTCTGCAGGCGCTTCAGCGCTAGCGACTGTCTTTCTTTTTTAGGGATGAGACCTGTATTTACTTTAGAGAAAGGCATGGTCCCTGCTGGTGTCTTGTTCTGTAGAGACCGGCCCTTGATCTCCATCCCAGCCAAGTGTTCTCGGATGTAGTTGTAGGTGTCTGTCTGTGTGACAGGCATGAACGGCTTTGTGGTATTTGTCCTCCGTCCTCTTTCCTCAGATTTAGTTTGTGATAAACTATCTTCCTCGCATACAGACTCCTTGATTCGCGCGTCTGGGAAGCTACCAGGCATGGTTTGGGCTGAAGAATCAAATCCGAAACTGTCGCGTCCTCGAAAAAACTTCATCATTTTGCCAACAAAGCCAGCTCTCTGGACCAGCCCAGGCATTGGCTTCTGATCTTTAATAGCGCCCAAGTCGGCACTGACACCCTTAACAACCCTGGGCATCACACCTGCTTCGGCCAAGGAAGACACAGTGTCCTCTGGTAGGTCGTCAAGAAATAACTTCGCGGCCGAGATAGCGAGGTACTCGTCTGGGTCTGTTGCGTAGTCCATTTTCGAGTGGGGCTGTTTTGAGATCTCCTTCAGTCTTGCCAGGAAAGTTTGAGAATAAATGTGCTCGATAATGGCAGCAGTTTGGAGGAATGTCTGGCGATGAATGCTTAAAGAGCAGCCACATTGATGACAGCACTCTTTGCCTGATAGAGAGATGGACGAGCTAGCTTTTGCCTCAAGATGCCTCTCCTGAAGACGATGCTCAATATCTTTCAGTGCCTGAACAAGTAAAGCTACTTGATGCCAGTGAGCGGCTCTGGTTGATTCTTCCACCCAAACGAGATTGGTCTTCAAAGACGATTGCGGATCGGTAGCTCGACGTTGTTCCAGAGTAACTGCGGTATCTACGGAGTCGGCATCGGCCTCCAACTTGATGCGTTTGGTATTAATGGTTCCAGATTGCTCATCATGAGAGTGGCGTTCAGTGGCACTATAGTTGCGAGGATAAACTGTTATTGGAGTTAGACTTAGGCTAGACATTATTCTCGGTCTATGTAACCCTACCGTAGCCAGCAATGCTGTTCGAAACTTTTGTAACAGCACCGCGGACTGATGTCATGATATTAATGTACCGAGCCGTACGGCTTATAGTAATCTGACATAATTAGCGCCATGTACTGAGCTCAATACAGGGTAGTTTACCCATGCCTTGCTCGCCCAAATCCAGATCCAGATCCAGAACTCTTGGTCTGCTTGATAAGAACTTACCGAGTTGATCCAGGTCTTTGGTGTCTAGGTTAGAGTCCGACCCCGAGTCTTCGACTCATCGCTTGTGTGAAGCGCGGGGTTTGGCTTCGTATAGCCAAGGTGATAAGCTTGTCTCCAATGGCTCGACTGCTAGACCGTCACTCTTCCAACACCTGCACCAGACAAGACGACGGCCTATTCTTGAAAAATATCCCCCACTTGGATGACCGCTATTTGTGCAAGTTGGATGATGAAAAATCTTGTTTGTTGGAAAATGTAACACAAGATCCTCCAACTTCGGTTATTGCCGCTGGAACTTGATAGCTTCTTCCGCCTTTTGCTCAGTAGATTATCTAATCTGTTTCGGCCGCTTCTTAGAAGAGTCTTTGAGGCTGGCGCAGAGATATAAAATTCGTTTCGGAGGTGTTATACTTGGCGGAGCAGCCTCTTTTGGGTCGTACAGGATGGTTATGGGTGTGCGTCTAACAAGGTCGTTCCTGGAGGCTTCGAGAATGACAAGTGTGCCAGTTCCAATGGTAGACGATAGGGTTGACGTGAATGGAGTAGATTCGGTTGTGAGAGAAGCTATCAGAGTATCACAAGATCGAAAGTTCTGTATCAGGATTCCGGCAGGTGTTGCGATATGGCTGATGAGCTTCCGCGCCCCTTCCTGACCAGCTGTTACTGGTCTGTATTGTCCCCAACGGAGCTCTGCAATTCAAGGGGGTACTGCTGCTGTTGAGTGGCTGAACTCGATGCTGTGGCCGAGGCTAGGATAAGGCGGGTACGTGTGCCCTCAGTGTCTGTACGTTAACGGTCGCGAAGTTTGCGCTCGAGGGATACGAAGACCAAGAAAGCCGCGGGTTTAGCCAGATAAGACTTCGAGGCGGGAGGGAAGAGATTCCTGCGAGTGCCCTGGAACTGAATTTGTTAGCTAGCAAGTTGCCACGCCGGGGGTTGGTCAAGACGGATGTGGGAGTTGAAAGGATTGGATAACAGACATAAGTGAAGGCGTGATGGGCGAAAAGAAGCGTCGGACTTACAGTAGTTTTGCGTATTGCACGTATGCTGGCTCCAGTAGCCGAGCGCGTTGATAGCTGAAATTGTACTGGTGTGTGCCCAAAAGAGGCGGAAGTGCAGTTGAGAATTGAATAGAACGTGAAGAGGGGAGGAATAGCGATAATTGAGGAAGGCGCGGTGGAGGGCGCGTCGGTTCGCAGGCACACAAGTGGGGGAAATGGATGAGTGGTCGAGTATGGAATAAGGCAGGCAATCGCGCGGCACAATTAGAGGCAAAGAAACCACAAAAGTCGTGGAAGTTGTGACATGCTAATCGAGGGCAGAGCAAAAGAGATGGTTGAATGCACTTCGGTTTTTGGATAGCTCAGGAAATACTAGTAATCGAATGGCATAAGTACCATGTGCCTTGAGAGCATACAGAATCCACAGGCCCTTCGTGGGACAACAACACTATTGGTTAAATTAGTGTTTAAAGGCAGTGATGAACATCCCCCCTGCAGTTCTGATTGGAGGAGCAAGGATTGCTGCGGGCCTTTCAGAATGCGGTAAGGCGCTCAACGCACCTGAACAGGTCCCACAGTTACCGCCCTTCAACTCCCAACGCCTATCTAGTATTTCACATCACATCGTCTCGTGATCTGAGCAAGTCTTTGCTAATTTGAAATTTATAGCTTAGAGTCTTGTTATATGAAGGAAACCGGGCTTCGAGAGAGAAAATTGCTAAAGGTTCAGCTTTTTAAACTATCAAGAAACCACCCGAACACCTAGCTCAACCTACACCTCTTCGTGGCTTCTTCAACTACATACATCCAAACCAATTCAAGAACAGGTGTAATTACACACGAACAAAACTAATAATATGCAAAATAAAGGGAAGACTGGATATCATTCCGTCGGCGATGCTGTACCGGTTATAGTTGCGCCAGTGTCTCCCCCAGTTTCTTTGTGCAAAAAGTACCGAAATACTCATTCAGCGCATCCACAGTACCACTACCTTCCACCAGCTTGACAACCACTCCAACATATCCATCAGGACGCACAACAACAATACCGCCCTTCTCTTCGTCCAAACCCATCTTGGCATGTGCAGCAGCCTTCGCATCAAGGACACGGCGGTCCCATCTGTCATCTGCATACACGTGTTCACGATATCGTCCTAGCACCTCTGGAACGTCGCGGGAGATCTCAATGCTGCTCCTGTTGACCGCAAAAATGGTACAAATAGTAAAAAATAAGCTGTGGGGGTTGTGCTTTTCATGGTGTGAAACACTTTTCACGTCATCTCTGAGATATGCAGCGTAAAATGACCGCTTGCTGTTGAGATGGCTCGCGAAATCTCTGAGGGCCACTCTTGTGGCTGAAGGCTTCCCGGCAAAAACAAAGATGCGGAACGAGCCGTTCAGGGGAATCTCTTGCTCCAAGTGAACAACATTGGCATCGACAACCCTTGTTACGTCAGCATTAATGAAGAGTCGCCCTGTGCGAAGTTTTGTTCCTTCCGGGTGTATCAGAGGCGATTTAGCTGGGTGTGCCTCGGACCAATTCAAAGCATTGGCTTTGTACGCTACACCATAGCCGCTCGTAAATTCACACGACTCCTTGAACGTCCGAATGAACTCGTTTTCTAGGTCCTTCTCGGTGTTCTTTTCAGAAGCTGCCTCGACCTCGCTTGCGGCTGGTGGTCTTTTTGAAAATAGTGCGGCATATTTGTTGTCGAAGTTGAGCAGCGTCTCAGCGACGTCTCTACGCTCAGCCTCGTATGTTTCAAGGATGTCACGATGTGCGAAGCCAGCCTCTACAGCATGAATCTTCCAAGCTAAGTTTTGGGCGTCGAGAAACGCTGTGTTCATGCCCTGACCAGCTTTGGGCTATGTTTCGTAAGTGAGCGAGATATTCCCAAAGGAGTTTTTATGAATCGACTTACGCTGTGGGTGTGGCATGCGTCCCCTCCTAGGAACACGCGATGGTCCAAAGTATAACGATCCGAAATCCCTTGTCCAATAGGGTAGACTGAGTACCACTCCACTCTCTCCCATTCAATGCTGTATGGCTGAAGAATCCGCTTTGCAGATTCCTGAACTTCTTCTTCCGTTGCCGTCTTCCGGGGATTCCAATCGGGGTCTGTCGAAGACGCTATCTGGATGTACAAGCGGACCATATTATCCTCTCGCGGAATAACCATAATAGATCCATGCTTGCTGTGGATAGTGCATTTCATCTGATTTACGGTCAGTAAGTTCACCTCTTTATATTGTAGCTGTGTACTTGCCTTGATATCCGGGAAATCAGTCTTGACTACGCCGTCCATAACGCCCCACACATGGGAGATGGGGTCCTTGTGCTTGATGCCAATCTGCAGTTGATTCCTAATGAATGAACGAGCGCCTTCGCCACCGAAAAGATACTTGGCGCGCAAAGTCTCCTGGGCAGTTCCATCTACGTGCTCTAGGCAGACTTCTACAGGGTACTCGGGGTTCTCGGCTTCATCCGAGGTGAATCCGGTGATGGTCCAAGGACGTTGGATTTGGACACCGTTCTTATTGAGATCGGAGATGAAAACTCGCTCGATGTGGCCTTGATGCAAGAGAGTCGTAAAGGGGTACCTAGCATCAATGAAACTGGGGCAGCTAGCCCAGGTTCCGGTCCTGGCAATCCCGTTGCCGTCCTGGAGGGGGTCCCAAAATGCTACTTCGTAGACTCTGGCTGGCTTATGAGCCATAATGGCTGACTTAAGTCCCATGTTACGAAGCAAGTCCAACGACCGTGGCTGGATGCCGTCTGCTCTTCCGGTTGGCGTTGGCTCAGCTCGGTTATCAATGTGTTTGATCCTGTAACCCCATCTAGCCAGGCAGGTGGACAGCATGAGTCCCACAGGCCCAGCTCCGACAATGACTACAACCATGGTCAGTAAACTGGAGGTAAGGAGATATGGTAAAGATCTTACCAATGTCATAAACTGATGAGCCCGACTGGCGATCAGGTTGCGTCTCCATTTTGTGCTTCAAACAGTTATGGGCTCCAGTCACAGTCCAGGGATGGTCAGTGAATAGCGAAACACAGCGCAGAGAAGTTGTGGTGGCCTCGGAACTCTGACACTGCGCAAGTGGACAGGAACAATGTCAAAAGGCGTGACAGAGAAAAAAAACCATAGAGGTGGTTATGGGAGTAAGCTACTGAGCCAGACGCAGCAGGTTATATACGATAACCGACTAGCTGGCAAATTTCTAATTTGGTACACAGCTGGGATGTAATGGACAGCGGGGAGATCTGGAACCAGTGCGACTGATTCGAGGGGACGAGATACCTCGCTGTTGCTCGCCCGGCAAACACTATCGGTAAGCAGGACGGGGACGGCAAGACAGGCCGGGAACTCCAGTGCCCCACACTAAGGCAGTCCAGGTGCATATTTTGTGCTGTGTGAAGGACATGCCGTTCACTTGATCCGTAGATATGGATACTGTAGGGGCACGTCATGGGGAAAGAGGCGGGGTGGCTCTTTGGGGGTAATGAGATTTGCTGTGTCTCTGTTGCTTTGGCTTGGTGCTAATCCCTGCCCAAAGGCAGCACGAACGGGACTCGGGAAGTCGAGTCGGCAAGTCGGTCGTGGGGCCGTGCCTTTGTGATCAGGTACGTAGTACTTTTCTCTTCGTTCAAACAGTGAGAGGTGCCGTATTCATAGCCGGGGGAAGCAACTTTACAATTGGTCAGGATATAATAGTGGGTATCTTCGTGGAGTTCTTAGAAGTTGGAGAAGGGCAAGTGCGGGGAATGTGCTGCACCCCGAAATGATGAGAATTATTGTACATTATTGAGGACGGACACGAGTGATGGGTTTCCGGTCACTGACATTGGTAGGGGGCTGACTGGTCACCAGAAAGCCCAGCGTTCATGACATGGCTTGTCACCACTTACATAAGCAGTCAGTTTTTCCGATAGCACGTGACTGGTGTACCCAGGCTCTACAGGACAACCAATATTACGTAGTCTTCCGTAGTCATCAGGGGTTGTGGCGTCGCATTCCAAGAGGTGCGGATCAGCCACCACCCCCTTTGGCACAGTTTCCTCTTGCTACCCAGCCAGGCCATATGAGACGGAGCCGCACAGAAACCTGACAACAATTATCTCGGAATTTTCAACCTTCACCATGCACTAAGCCAGAGTAAAGCACACTCTCCCACGCATGCCGTCACTACCGCTTTACGCTGTGCTGGCCGACGCAAATCCCTTTTCAGGTTACTTACCCTCCAGTGGCACGCTTTTTTTTTTTGTCGTACCCTTATTGAGCCCAAGGTATCCTGGCGTGGCGCTAAGATTGTAGAATATTGTGCACTGGGCCTGGAAGGTCCCCAATAACGCTAGCCACCTCGCCTACACGGGATTTACCCGGCATGATGTCCACTCTGATCAGAAATACGAAGGCTAGCTGTCAGGACCGCACCGTCTGGCTTCCGGAGCACACGGGCCTTAGCAAAGACAGGTAGCTGTCCTCAAAGCGTCATATCTCTTATTCAAACGGCTGGTGCTCGGTCGTCGGCATGGTCATACAGAGTCCGAGTCCGTCAGGCAATCCATCTTTGTTCCAGTTTCCTCATTAGTCGAGTCTTGTTCTTTCTGACATATTGGGGTTTTTCCCGTGTTGGTTGGTTGGTTAAGTGACTGGCCCAGCCTAATCCCCAAGTTCTTTTATTCGATTCCTTCACGTCAGTCGAGGATCAGTGCTTCGGGGCATTTTACCGGAAACAAAGTGAGGCATGCCATCCAAACATGGAAAGAAACACTCAAGAAAGCCCCTGCTTCTTTGTGGAAGAACCTTCAATTCATCACATGTATTTCCAAGTAGCAAAGAGGAAGGCAGGTGGCTTGATGTGCCTTACCAACCAACAGGTAAGATATCGTCCTGTTTGGGCAACCTGAAGACAGAAGCGAGTCCCTCAAGGAAGTCCGCACCAGCTGTTTCTCCTTCGACACTTCCTCTCCTATGCCTTGTGACAAATTTATTCTGGCTCCCCTGATTGTCCTTTCTTTTCAGCATCTCCGGATTCATCATTGTTTATCCTTTTCCTCCACAGAAAGTGGAGGCATGGGAGCTGGCATCACTGAATACCAATCAAGTCTCTTTAATCTGGAGTATGACATCTTGTCTTGTTTCATTTCGTCGCCTAGATTTCCTTCTTGAAACATCTCCTTTTATTGCCAGGCCCTGCTCGTAAGACCCAACATACTTCCACGCAAGATGCGAAGCCGCCTAAGCCTCCATACTTGGGTTGAATCCACGCCAACTGTATTTGAACGCGGGCAAAATGACCGGCGACAAAACCTCACGTGCATGGCAAGTCTCCGTGTCCAAGACACGTTGTGTAGGAATGGTTATGATGAAGAAAGTAAGTTGGTTATCGCTTGTCCCGAGAAGGTTACAATTACAACAACTGAACGACTCCGCAGAGTGCCGCAACGTTCTTGTCAGATATTGTGCGCACATTCCCCGCAACTATCAATATTGTGACGGTGTCCAGCTAGTAAGTGCATGCCTTTTACTTTGGATCATGCCTACATATAGATATATGTTTGATGCCTTACGGCTGACATGCTCCTGTAGGTCTTCTTGATTCTGCGTGAGCATCTTGGAGACGAAAACCTAGATCTTGCTGGTGGTGTGCTCTATGAGTTAATCGAAATAGACTGTCACCATTCAGATGATCCAGGTGCCGAGTTTCAACGATGGAAACACGACCATCTCAATCGACATGTAAGTGAATAAGCCAGAAATATGCGAACTTAGGACTGACCGTTCTTGTCCAGTCCAATTTCGAATTACCTCATATACCTCACATGTCTACAATTACTACATCAGTGCGACCGACACTCAGTCTCATACAGTGGCGACAAAACCATACAAACCGTTATCCTACTAGATTATCGGATCACCATCTCACGCTTCGGACCAGCTCAAACGAACCAAGTTGTGTACGCAGTCGCAAAGCCTGGATGATCGATCATACTATGTACGTTTCTACACGTGAGGGTGGTACATGCGCTTTTCGCAGTCCAAACCCCAAAGAGATGCATGAAATGCAATGGGATATCGGAGTCGGCCAGGTAGGAAGATTCCTCAAGGAGGAAGTCGTTCCGATCGCATCGTCAGCTCAGAGTGCGGGTCCAAGTACTCATAACGACATTGTGGACACCAACGTGAGCCAATCCAGGGCTCTGAAGATTGGAAAATCAGGTGCTTTACGCATTTTCAGAAGGCCTGTCGCTCTGAAGACGCCTAGTTTCGAAAGACGGTCGTCAGCTACCAGACATTGTAGCTTATTTGCTGACACACTGGATCTCAACGCCATCCTATCAAGTCAGGACTCTGCCGATCACGAGCCTGTTCCACTACCCAACGGCTGCATATCACCGCACGCCATTTTTGCCAGGAAATTCTCTTTAATATCCGACAGTGTGCCCTTACCACCGTCATTATCTCACAAACTTATGCCCACGGCTGACATAAAAGCGAAGAAGTTGTTGATTGAAGCTGCAGAGAAAGGTCTCATGGGCCCATCCTAGGAGTTTCGTGGCCCATTCACACCTCAGCTTGGGTTCGATGGCGGTCTGGATTATCGCTACACTTTCTTAGACCCTTCCACTGCAACCATCCGTGCAAACAGCAGGCTGATCTCCCACGGACCTACGGGCACCCGCCATCAAGTCGATGTCGATCCCCGTACTTCAGCAAGAAGCCCGAAACTCCAAGTAAGTAGCGATTGGTTTGGCTTGAATACCCGTAAGCCAGCACACAGTTCACAAAACCTCAGTGTCCATGCTATATGTGCTGGTGTTGGAAGGCTTCCGAAAACTACGCACGCCTCGGCTAAGAGCGGAGAGCAGCGTCGTCTTCGGCCCAACAGCAACTGGTTTGGGCTTGATGGCTCTGCGGAAAATGAAAATGGCCTTAGACCATCTGAGGCGGATCGTGTGTGCTCCCAGAGTGTATTGCACAGCCAATGCGGGGTTGCCACTAAGGTCAGCGGATCGCAAGCGCCAACAAATTTACGGTCGAAATTTCATGCCACTAGGTCTCCTAGGCATGGTTTGAAGAAAAAGCAGGATTTCATCGGCAATTCCAGCGCTGGTAGCAAGCTTGGTGTTCCCAGCTGTCGATGGGCGGTTGCAAAGCATCCAAGGATACACCCTGCCAGCATCTTCGAATTCCAGACCCACAGGCTAAGGCTTGATCCATCGCTCGGCCTACTTCGCAGCCCAATTCAATCGACAAAAGCCGCTGACTCGGGCCAACTTCACTCTTGTAGCCCTCTAAGTGATGACGAAGTCCTGAAATCTGCTACTGAAGGCATGTTCGGGAAAGCCAGAGAGCTGACTATCACGAAGCAGAAGCCCACCCTTTGTGATATCAGGCGGCCGTCCTGGTCAAGCAAGATGGCTTCAAACGATCAGTCGGAAAAGATGCCTCACTCTCTTGTATCCTCTGGATCAAGGTCAACCTTGAAATCAGAGAGCAGAAAGTCAAGTATTTTCTCCCTACATCCTGAGTATCTTCCAAGGGGTCTGGGTGCTCACCATACAAAAATCTAGCGCGACATCAGCCATCATTTTCGGAATTTTACGCATATGTACCAAGCGACCATTCTGTGTCAGGTCTCATTCTTGATGGTCCAAAAGTAGGCGTCGATGGTGTTCCGAGGTCGCCGGCGTCATGCAACAATTTTCAAGAGCCGATGACACACGGCAGCCAAGCAAAAACTCAATCAAACGCCAGTTTGAAAGAGGCCATTGAGGCACATCTTCCCGGCAGATTTGTTCATACCAACTTGCAATCCGACGATCACCATTGTAGGTTCATATGGATTGATATAATTGCTATGGCTAAACAAAGCTAGACGACAGACCTACACAGACAGGTGGCGGTTCAGCACGTGTTGAGGAACAGTTAAGATGGGAGGATAGTGTTAGAATGCAACAACGTGACAAAGAAGTATTTGATGGTACGTATCAAGTGAAGAGAATAAGGAAGGTGCCTTGCTCCCCTTCCCTACCATTCACTCGCTCCTTCCGGAATAGGCGGACTTTGGCTCATTCACTCGCCCAAGGCCGAGGTGCTTTCCACAGAGCGCCGAGCCCTATAGAGATCCAAACAAGAGATCCTGTCAACCTTGACACTGTATTTCCACAGCGAGGTAAGTAAACAAATGCGCTCGCCAGCTAGGAAGCGAAAAGCGTGAAAGGGGGAGCAAACCGAATCACCCTTTCTTTACAGCATCCCATTTCGCATTGCAAGGCAGGCACTAAAAGCGATTTGTTTGTCTTAGACCCAACGTCTTATCAAGCGCGAGTCGACGCTTGGGTTTCAGAGCTACGAGCGAACCAATTCGAGGATCCTGAACTCGCCGGCCCATTTCCTCGGCCGTTAATACAGACACCGCTTTCCTCACCTGAACAGCTCAACCAAACCGAGGAGCCTAACTTCGGCCAAGCTTCATTTCGAATGAGAATCGCCAATTTCATCGAAACCGAAAAAGCTAATGAGCGCCCATCCGTGTCTTCTCTTACCAACCAGCAACGTGACGCGCGGGACATAAATACGACGGTCTCAACAGCGTCGTCTACCGATCTTCCTATAATGAGCCAAGGTTCGGAAAAGCAGGACGGGAAGTGCCTTGTGATGATGCCCTCTGCTATGCAGGGCACATTCATTCCCGTGTCGCCCAAGAAGCGCCGGCCACCGTCGCCTCTGAAACATAAACCTAACAAATCTGTTCAGATCAATCTGAATCTCACAGAAAACCAGGTAGAAAGACTTACAGACGTGTAAGCACGGACATACAAACGATAAGTTTAATCGAGCTAAAGTTGATAGGTTTGCTGTTCATGGCCAGTCGCCTTCCTGCCGAGACCTGGCCGACAGAACTATCAGAACTGGAGCACCCGCCCGAAACCACGACCCAGTCACTTCGCAGACTCATAGAAGCATCGATCAGCGGAGAATTCCTTCCTACGCTAATGAAAGCCGGATGGCCCGTCAGGTGGCCCAAAAGGGTCACGAAACAGATTCTACGACTTTCTCAGAGCTAATGCCCCGATCAACCAATAAAACACAGGACTCATCGAATATTGCAGAGCGTCGTAGGCAAGCCACACCAACCCCGGTTCACCTAGGGAATCATCAGCAGTACGGTGCCCTTGTCGAAAACGCCAGGGGCATGGCTTTCAATGCACCCATGACACCAAAGAACATTTCTCCAGCAGCTATGGATCAAGCAGACTGTTCCTCTTTGTATTCTCAAACCAACGACCATCCAAAAGCCTTGCAGATTCAGCAGAGCAACATGTCGCAACACATTAAGGATGTTTTGCAATCATATGGCGGCTGGAAGGACTCGGATGCCCCTACCTTGGCACCTGAAATGGCCGGTGCTGGAAGAAGCACTCAAGAGCAATCCCCATCGGAGAGCAGACTGGGTGTTCTCAAACAACCAACAACAGATGCGAGGCAAATGTATTCCCCACTTGGGCCTTACTTTGCATATTACGATCTACCTGCACAGAAGATCGCCGGTAAAACCCTCATTGGTGAGCAAGGATGGCTTGAAAGACCGAACAAAACCCCAGACAGCAAAAGGGACAATTCCCCAAAAAAACCCAGTCTCCTCGACAGCCTCAAGAAAATTGCCAAGGATATGGTGAGAAACTCCTGCATCATGTACTACCTCAGAAAGCAGCTAACACTCTGGTAACCAGACTGAGGGCAAGCCACACCGTAGAATGCGAGATATTGAGAGAGAAGGAAAGGTGCAAAGGATCACCATTTCTCTGGATCCTCGTGAACAGAGTCTTGTTTACTGCGAGCTCGAGTTTCATATCAGTAACGCACTTCACAACTACATCACCAATGAACTGAACCATGGCCGCCTTAACCCCGATAAACTCAAGAAGATCTCGGACGGGTGGAATCAGAAGGGCCGACCCAGGGTAGTTGGCTTCCGCTACGATCTTGAGACGCAACTTGATCTTGTCCGTCTACACATTGACGAATTTCATTTTTTCGGTCGCCGCCAAGGCAATCCATTGGAGATTGAAGGTCTCCTTCATGCTATGAAGGTTAACGCTCGGTCCATGCGTATTCGCACTTTCTGTCAGCCCGACTCCGTCATTGCCAAGCAGCTCGTGGATTCGCAGTCTCTCTGCAACACTATTGGGTGCTCCACGTCCGAGCAGATAGCAATTGCTGAGATAGCACAATTCTTCAAGGTGATTGTAGAAAGAGAGCAGGCTGTTCAGGATAAATCAGCCCGCGACGATACAACGAAGACTCTTGGCCAGGGAAGTCGGCAATGGAAACCGTCGAGGGACTTGAGCGAGCAGGATGATCCTTACGGCGGACTGCGTCTGATACCTGACGAATATGATATTAACACGGAAACGCTTCGGCACGGCAACTGAGAACTTATTATCATATGCGCGATCAGCGACGAAGCGGGTTTCCGTTACTGGGGAAAAGAAAGGAAGGGGCCCGGGGGGCGGCGCGAAAATTGAGTCGATTGATGCGACAGGAAGAGAAGCACGCAGAGGCGAATCATCTGGTCGATGGAATCCGTCATATAACACGGAAGAAGGTCAGTTAGAGCTCAGAGAGGCGTTTGTTCGGGTGAGCCAACATTTCTGGACCCCGGAAGCCATGAAGCAATGCCTCATTGAACGAGGTTGACTCTGATACGAGCTACTGAAGTATTAACGAAGCAGATATGTAAGTATGGGTTGAAAAGGAGTTATGGCTGCAAGACAAACGTTTTTACTATTATAAGTTTGAACATCGATTGATGCAACGATGTGAATGTGTAACGAATAACTAAGATACCAAGTGACAACGAGTAATTTGCGAGCACAGCCAAGAGAAGAAAGTTCCTGTAAAATTATAACAAAATGCTCCTGTCTGGTCGACTGATAATTCGAAGGGACTTTATTCATGAGTCTCTTAGTTGACAAACTCAGTCTCTCTGTATGGAGTTTATTCTTCTCTCTTCAACCTCCCTAAGCATCGTCTATTATCCAAGGCGTTATGCTGATAATTTACGTCTCCATCCTCAAAGCGACTACCACGGGAATTTCCTCTGCCATGATTGCGTTCGTGATATTTGCCGGTGTCGTAATGTGGCAGGTCGCTTTCCTTTCCCCACCGTCGCTCCCACGCTTCCTGCTGTGTTTTGTCTTGTTCACGGACAGCTTCAAGCCGCCTTTCTAAAACATTTGCTCCAAGTCCCCCAACAAGGGCACCCACAGCTGTGGATATTACACGCCTTTTCTCGGAGTCTCGCAGTGATATAGTTTGGTAGGTTCCGTTACTCATTTCTTTACGAGTGCGTGAGCGTACGGCCACATCTGAGACTTCGCGTGCAGCCAGGCCACCAACAACGGCGCCTAGTAGGCCGACACCAATGCCTGAGGACGATGGAGTAAAGGTGTGGTCAATGGCATGGCGCGTTTTCCCAAGAGGACTGCGGGAGCGTGAACGCGACCGTGATCGGGTGACAACAAAACCATGTTGAGGGATAGAGCGTGGACGGTTGCACAGCGGCGCTGACAGCCTCAGGGCGTTTGCGCCACGAACGGCTAGGGGTAAATCAGATTCGTCGTATTGGACGGCTGTAGTGGCGCTTCTATGGATTGCCTCTGAGATATAAGGCCTGTTGGTCGATATAGAATTACGAGAATAGGCTCGAAGGCCTCCGCCGCCGCCGTCGTCACTTGTATAATGGCTATGCGAAGGGGGTCTTGAACCTGGGTCGCCGCGCTGGGGTCTTGTCCCGTTGACGCAGTTATTTCGGGCTTCTCGCTCATAGTGCCCAGACATGTCTAAACTGGGGAGGATTTGAAGGAAGGCTGGTGAAAGGTGATGGAGTGGTTGGGAGACAATTGAAGTGAAGAGACTCCGTGATATGGTAGTCAAGCAAGCCGATCGACTGAGGACAGTGAGCTGATCTCATACGAGGCTTGGTGAAACCAATGAGGACGCGATGAAGAATATTTCCCTTCGGCAGATAAAATAGAGATAAGGAGTTGGAGGAGGGGAGCAGAGAGACAGCCAAGCAATTTGATACAGTGACAGAAGTTCTGGCCGTTTTTGCTGACGTAGGGCGGAACAAGCTTGCATTCTAGCCAAAATCTTGTGTTTATTGCTGCAAGATTCTTACCTGGAGCCTGACTCTGGGGCTCAGCTGGCTCAATGCCAGAATGAAGATTACAGAAAGACAAGCGTGCTAGAACGCCTGGACTGTAGTACTTCCCACTAATGGGTAGCATGAGAAATCGCCCAAAAGGCAATCTCAGTTCCACGCAAGTAAGACTTTAGGTGGCCTCGAGTTGATCTGAAGAAGCCTTATGGTTCAAAGGAGGCGAGTTGCCAGACGCACGGTGAGGTCACCATGGACAAAGCAGAGCTCGCTCGCGCTGCCTCGTCACATGCCTCGTATTTCAATACCCTGGAAGCCAAGTTACACACTCTTTATACCATCAAAAACGACGGAGGGAGAGGTATTTGAGGCACAGCCCTCAGATTGTCATTGCTTGGATTTTTCTGATTCGTAAGATTCGTGCGGGGTAACACCTTCCCACCAAACTGCAATTCTGCCAGCTCTAGGGACCTGCCCCTCACCAGAGAGGGCTGTACGACGGGAAAATGATGTACGGGATCGAGGCAATGGTTGGAAGCTCAAGAACAACGCAGTGCACATGGAATACCGTGTAAACTCATGCCAAGGAAAACTCATTTCGGGGCTAATTATCGTGTATGTAACGATACACTTGTTCTATAGTCGAAAGCCGACCGTTGGCAGTTCATCTGCTAGCGGTAGTGTAGGTAAGAGCAATAAGCACTAGCAAAGTGCACGATTGCAAGAATTTACATTTCCCAAGTTGAGCCTCATGAAGCCACGTTGTGCATTACTTGGTTGCTTGTCTGCACCTTGGGAGAACAAAATCCATAACCCGTACGGGAAGCATCTCAAACTGCGGCCCCTTCAATCGCTTCTGATTCCAAGAGCGTAGCTCAAGAAAAGATTTTGTCACTGGTCAACATCCGCATTGTCGGTGTGACACTGAAATTTAGTGTGCGGCGACAGATTCGTAGGCTTTTGACGAGCCATTTTGAACACATGGCCTTTCGATATATCTTAGCATAGAGAGGCGGTTACGACACTGACCTCTTCGTGCATATCTCATGTTTGTTTGGCTACGTTTTGAGCATACCCTGACGAACTGAAACGTCCAAAGCACATCCATGTTTTCCTTAGTTTCCCACTTCGTGTCCATCACCATTTTGAGGTCCCGTCCCGGCCCCACAGCGGGAACATAGAGCCGGGTCCGGCATTTGTGCCAGGGTCCACAACTTCACTACATCTTATCGTGTCTTTTAGCCCATCACAGACCACTCCATCGCCGTGACTTTGATCTTTACTGTCCAGCAAATAGACTACAGTGAACAGCACTGGCATGCCAAGTTCTGATAAGAACAGAAACTGGATGATGCTAGTCTACGTCTCAGTGCCTCGCCCATTCATGGATGAGGGTTGATAACTCTCTTATCTACGCCTTCAATTTTATTTTCAAATGCATCAAATTGAAAGTTAAATCAATCCGCATAGACCCATTCATGCATCGTTCTCTCAGTTATTCTGTGTCGTTAAAATGAGGCATAGTGAGTTTAATTAAGCAGTGTGAGCAACACTGACCTCAAAGGTTTAGAGTTTCTAGTACGATTATGGCAGATGCATCAGTCAAAACCAGTCATGGCATGCCTTGATGTCTTTCAGTAGAACCAAAGACTACTGTCTCCTACAAACTGGTGCTCAATCGCAATAATTCATCTGCCAGCCGTCGAATATAGAACTCTCTAGCATCCTGAGGAAGACTACTAAAGTTGTTACTGATGCGTGCAACGTCTTGACGTCCCCTTTCGTATGCAGCCAAGTCACGGTTGCCGTAGATATCTTTCCCTGCTGCATAACCTTTTTCTAGGTTGCGGAAGAAGATGTTAACGGCGACACTCATGTCCGACAAAGGGGCGGCAGTATGCATCCAGAGAGGTGGAAGGAAGAGAATATCGCCTGGTTGCAAAATAGCCTCGTGTCGTTGAATGTTTTGCAATGAGCCCGATTCGAGTGAAGCGAATACATCGATGCTAGAGCTGGATGCCCCTGGGGCGAACGCCAAATGAGACACATCTGACGGATGGAATAATATGAGCCGTTTCGATCCCCTAATCTGCACGTAGACATTGGCCATGACCTAAGTGGGAAATGAATGGTCAGTAAAAGTCGCTTCCTACACGAAACGAGAATAGGATAACGTACATCGTAATGCAACCACATGTTCACAGGGCCAGAGATGCGCAAGACAGAGCTGAAGGCGTTGTCATTAACGTAGCCGAGTTGGGAAGGCAAGACAAAATCTTCAGTCAATGATGGATAGTCATGCTTCAATTGGGTCGGGAGGTTTGACGGTTCATCTTTAGACAAGGCCCTTAGATATAGCCGCTTCCCCTCTTGAACCTCCTTGATGAAGTCGCCGAATCTTTTGGTGACATAACGAAAATTTTTGGTGTTAAAATCCATACTCTCCGTCAAAGATTCGTGTACTGAGATCTGATTCAAATTTCCATTAGTATCAAATGATATGAATGTGAAAAGGGAAAGGCTAAGTAAAAAGGAAAAAGAAGAACAGAAAAGATACTGAGGAAGGTAGATAATACGAACCTCTCGATCTGCGCCCACCCTGTCGACAAGATATTCAGGAGACCACGTGGATGTGCAAGGTCCAATCCCGGAGTCTTCAATGATGATAGGTTTGCCCATATCCAAGATCGAACGAAACTGCTCTTTGGATACCGCCTTAATACGCGGGACGAGCTCAGGTGCAATAGCTGCAGACTTTTCTGTTCTAGCTTCGGTATCGGTCGTTGCAATCTCAACCGTTTCCAAATACTTCACCGGTGCATTTTCAGGGTGTGAAATTCGTGCCACACACTGCCCGGATAATTGGTCTGCGTCGAGAGCGAAGCTGTAACTTCCTGGCGCCCAGCAGGTTCCCATTGAGAAGCAGGTAGCGCCTCCACCAACAATGGCAAATTCTCCGTCGTTGTGGGAAACAACAGAGGATCCGATTAGAAAGGGACGCACCACTTCAGAACCGACTCTGCCGTCGATCTTTGCCACGACCTCAAATTTGGCATGCGTCGCTTTAAGAACAAGAATATCATATGTTGCGGGCAATTGCACGTCTTTGACGACCCCACCAAGAAGGAGCGTGTAACCATTGGAATGTGTAACCGTAGAACCAAATCTAGACAGCAGATCTGTCTCGTATTGGTCAACCTGTTTGTTTACGCACTCGAACGATATCCAGGGCTGCTATTCCTGTTAGTATGTGCCCAAATATCAAGTCTTGTATCTTACCTCGGAATCAGCGATCTCCAATGTCCATGCGTACGTGCTGTTGTTTACGATTCCGTCTTCCAGTAAACCTCCAGCAAGAAGGCCTCTGAAGGGTGCAACTCTGCCATTTAGTGTACAAGTAAAGATGGCACCATAAAGCGAAGGTGGGGCAGATCGCACTTTGCATTTTGTCCAGCCTTTGGCAGGGTTGTAGAGGAAATAGTCCGCAGACGTCTGGAAGTGATTGAGTCGGCCTCCAGAGAGCAAAGCAAGTGACGAGTTTCCTAGACGAGTCACCGAATGCCTGAAAAGAGACACAGGAAGGTCATGTACGCGCTCCCAGGTATTGAAGGCCTTTCTGTACAACCAACAATCTTTAAAAGCTGTCGACGGAGATGCACGCCCTCCAACGAGTAGGACCCCGGCGCTTCCCAGATCTGTAAGTGTATGACAAACTCTTCCTGATGGTCCCTTGAGAGATGGGCTGACAAGTGGGCGCTGGCACTGATCAGATAACTGGTACAGATCCTCGGAACTGAGCCTTCCGTTTGGCCCTTGTCCTAAGCCATGTGAGATAAAAGTCCGTCCGTCGGGATTCTCCACATGCATGGCAGCGCCGAATCGTCGATGTCCCTTGCCGGACTTGTACTCGGAAAAGGTCATGGAAGTTTGGCACGGAGGAATATTGAACCCTTTGACATTCCGAGAGAGATGCCTGTCGCCCTCTTGGCTTAGGGTAGCTGCATGTATAACAAAGTAGTGGCTGGCAAAGAGGGCGAATTCTTCCCATTCGTCAAAGGGTTCAACGGCATCTAGAGCCTGTCTCTCGGCAGCTTTCATAAACAGGTCGTCGGCCCAAGTCTCCCAGAGAGTCCAACTCTCGACTTCGGTCCAGCCCAATGTCTTAAAGCGAGCTTCCTGGGTGGCCACACATGGGTAGCGATGGACGGATTTTAGCGGTGTGTTTAATTTGTTAAAGTGCTTGAGCATTGTGTTGGCGAATGGGTGATTAGGCCCATCTGGTAGAATCTGTTCCAACAAGCAAAATTCGGCTGAGTCCAATATCAGTAAAGAACCTTCAAGGGGGCTAGTAAACTAAGTTGATACCATTCTGGAGAGCACCTGCCCATTTGATGACACCATCGGCACCATCAGTGTCCATGTATGTGATAGACACCTCGGCCACAAAGAAGAACTCGGTATTGGATATATCGAATAATTCAGATAGGCATTTTTCGAGCGTCGAGAGTTGTCGGAGATCGCAGCCTATCTGGCAGTACTTTCGACTCCTGAGGACTAGAGGAGAGTCATCGTTAACCTCCCAAGTCCCCAGGATGCTTTGCAACTCCGGGGTCTCGAGAACGATGCGACGCTTTTTCTGAATGAGATCAGGGTAATCCACATCAATGAAAGCGACGTTACGGCATGCCCCCGGGTATCGCACTTCACACTGCCATGGCAAAACGTCGCTGGCAAGGACTGAATGAGCCATAATCGCCTAGGACTGGTTAGGGACAGAGTGAACTTACCTTCCACAGCCCAGATTGACAACAACTTTCTTCAGGTTTGAAGGCTTTTCGAGAAACCGGCGGACCAGAGTGTCAATGACCTTGAGTCGAAGATGATAGCCTCTGTTGATGAGAGGAGCCCTTCGCTGGAATTTCTTGACGAAAAATCGAAAGTAATGAGGCTCATCAGGGTAGTAAAGGCGTTCCTGAATGAATTAATGATATATTCCATGACACATCAGCAAGTTGACCAGAGACTGGTAAAAAAATACTTACAACGCTTCGTTTTGAGACGATGGAACTGCTGTTTGTCTATTGAGTAAGAGTTTCAGCCATGAAAAAAAAAAAATTGACAGGTTTGAACAGGTTACAGGGTGGGCAGCTGTTGAGGGTTGACAAGATCACAGATCAGACTTACTGCCATGATGAGATCGTCCAGAGCCTGGGCCCTACGGGTGCTTTGAGTCGAAGGGGCCATTTTGGATGGTTAGCAGAGTGAGTTATGGGTTGACGATGTTGTGGGCGGGTAGACAGTATTATTAGTTTGCCGCGAATAATGTGTACTGGTGATTTTCCCCACTCGACGAAACCAAACGTAGTTTAATGTTAACTTAAGAAGCACACGGGCTGAAGGGGTCCTCTCCAAAGCCCTGATATGCAAGAGATTGTCTTCAAACGCTGAAACTGGGCAATACCATCTCTAGTTTTTTTTTTTTTTTTTTTTTTTTTAATATTTTGTAAACATAAATTTGACAATATACTTTGCTTGTGTATGATCTTATAAAGTCGATGTAGATATACTTCTCTTGCTGTTGTTATGGTCGATATTGTAAAGAGAAATCATGGCTTACAGTGAATTCATATTGTGTGTGCGTGAGTGAGTGTTGGTTGGGTACAGGCAGAGTTTTAGCTGTCTCTTATCAGATAAGGAGACACATCATGCTGGCGCATTTGGATCCGCCAGCACACACGCACACACACACAAGCTCGGTGGTCACTGAGGTGCACTTCCATTGGTCCTCTTGTGCGATCTCAAGCCAAACACAGCCACACGTGCCACGAACATTTGGGACCAGTTAGAGGGCTACCTGCGCTACCTTACCTTACCTCAGGACTAGAGAGTGCTGGGGCCATCCGACGGATTACATAGCTTCCCCGCTGCCCCCACTGGATTGGGATTGGGGGCCGCCCGAGTCCCACGCCTCCAATGTCCGGGCTGCTCCCACAAGCTTGAGATGCCCATTACACCTTGCTGTTACCGTCCTTACCTTACCTTACCTTCTACACCTTGCCCTACACCAACTTTACCTAACGATTATCTCCCCCGCCTTGCGCTTCAGATCGTATTGCGCCACACCATACTTCGTTATACTTGAGTTCAACTCCTCCAGCGATCATTGGGGGGCTTATTCGAGCTTCAGAAAGTCGATATCGTCCGACACCTACTCCGACCGACTTGGACGACTTCGCCCGGCCCCCAGCTGCCTGTCACCTCCAGCCGGACGAAAGAGAGCCTGTTCAGCGTCTTTTACTCACCCATCAACATAGCTTGCCCACCAGACTCGGCAGGTCGCCTCGCCTTTCCTCGCCACTATACTCTGATCTTTATCGTCGGCACCTTCCGATCCCCGAAAGAAGACATCTCTGTCAACTGTGTTGTTGGCCTGTACGCGACATTCTCGCGCCTGCCTCAGACTTTGACTGAGCCATAAAACCTCTCTCTTGGACTCAGTTGGTAGTGGCAGTGGGCCGAAACAAACAGTGGCAGATACCTCACGCCTGTTCAATACCACTCCTGAGCGCCTGGCCCTCCTTTAACGCCGGCGCTGCCCCGGCGATAGTGAACCTCTGTCGTTCATCACACCGAAGCGCAAACAGGTCTAAGCCTTGCTTGCACTATGGCTAACGCGTCTCTCAACTTTATTACCTTTAACCAAGACCATAGCTGTCTTGCTGTCGGTATGCCTCCCATGCAACTTGCGCTCCCAAACTTGTTGCCGCCTTAATTCTAGCAACAGCTTGTAGCTAACTGACCATTCGTCTGGTTGAACAGGTACTTCCAAAGGGTTTCGAATTTACCATACCGATCCATTTTCAAAGATCTTCAGCAGCGATGATGGCAATATTGCCATCATTGAGATGTTGTTCTCAACCTCTCTGGTTGCGTTGATACTCTCCCCACGACATCTGATAATACAGAATACGAAGGTAACCCATTCCTAGCTATTGATTGTGTGTGTGGTTGTGCTTCTCCTATACTGACCGTGACCAGAGATCTTCTGTCATCTGCGAACTTACCTTCCCTTCTGCCGTTCTTGCGGTGCGTCTGAACCGCAAGCGACTTGCGGTCGTACTTGAGTCAGAAATATACTTATACGACATTTCCAACATGAGTCTTCTCTTCACGATTCCTACCTCACCGAACCCAGGTGCTATATGCGCCTTATCGCCGTCCTCGGAGAACTGCTACATAGCATACCCGCTACCGAAGCCTCGTGAAGATACTGGAGACAAGAGACCAGCACATGCACCTCCCCTCTCAACTTACGTGGCTCCCACGTCAGGAGAGGTTCTGGTGTTTGATACCATCACGTTAAAGGCTGTTAACGTTATTGAAGCTCATCGGTCGCCACTGTGCAGCATCTCGCTTAACAGTGAGGGCACGCTATTAGCCACAGCCAGTGAGACCGGCACTATCATCCGTGTCTTTTCAGTCCCCGGAGGGCAAAAGCTGTATCAGTTCCGCCGAGGCACTTATCCCTCAACAATCTACAGCATGTCATTCAACCTTAGCTCCACATTGCTATGTGTGTCTTCAACCTCCGACACGGTTCATATTTTCCGTCTTGGTGCCCCTCCTCCAGGAAACAACTCTGCTTCTGCCGCCATGGAGTCTCCTGCTTCTCCAAGGCAGGATCGATGGTCTCGATCACGTAGTTACGATAGTGCCAATGAATCGCCTGTTGGTAGCGTGGCTGGCTCCCCAAGGAGCGACTTGGCCGAGCCCGCCGGACCAAGCAATGGCGGCAACACTCAGCAAGTGAGCAGACGGCAAAGTGGATCATTCAGTAGCATACTGCGGCGATCGTCACAGATAATGGGTCGCAGTGTGGCGGGTGTTGTTGGCTCTTATTTGCCCCAGACAGTGACAGAAATGTGGGAGCCGCTACGCGACTTTGCCTATATCAAGATCCCGAAATCATCAATTTCACCAACTGCATCAAATCGAAGTGGCAGCCACGTGAGCGGATCACAACTCCCCAACGGCCCTCTACGGAGCGTAGTGGCCATGAGCAGCAGTAGCCCGCAAGTGATGGTTGTTACCAGTGACGGAGGCTTCTATGTGTACAATATTGACATGGAGCATGGTGGAGAGGGCTACCTTGTCAAGCAGTTTTCGTAAGTCATCAGACCTTTTACCTCTCTGTCATGACAAATCACAAGGTTTAGTCAGTAAACTGACCTGTTTCTTTGGACAGTGTACTAGACGGCGATGACAAGCTAGATGCATCATCCTACGGAACATGATGCATCTTTCTTGATTTAAAATTCTGATCATGAGGGGCAAGCATGTTTGTGCGATGAAGTCGTCGCATTTTGCTTTTAACTTTTGTGGGGATGGAAGAAGAAAGCTGCATCCGGAGGCGTTTGGCTACCATTGTATCTTCTTCCTGGGGGCGACTAGGGGTTTACAGGACCTTGCAATCTTGACCTAAGACGAAACATACCCTTCCGGCTCGCGGGAGCTATTAATTTGAACCTAATCGTAACGAATGGATTGCATCATCCCAGAACCAAAAAATGCGCTTTGTCGACGAGTGATTTCAAGATAAGAGGCGTCCTGAACAACACGGACAGCAGAAGAGTAACGCGGCCATTGTTTTGTATTATCAGAGTAAGCTTTGCAACCTTAGACAGGCTAGCCGTCGTCAGCAGGTTGTTGGTTTCATCATTCATTGCCATCAGCCATGGCCTACCTTTCGTATCATCTTCAACGATCGTGTAACAGACCAAGCATCGAAAGACACCAGATAATCTGCATTCGACCAGAAGATCCATGCGCCTTTTCGTTCATAAGCCCAACATCCAACCAGATAAAATTGAAATCGAAAACCAAATGGGGAAAAAGGATAAAAAAAAAAAGCTACTAATAACGCCATTCCATTACCAAGAGTGCTGCGCGAGCTGTGTCCCATCATGACTGTATCCCCGTTGAGCCTTGCGACACGACAGATGCACCAATAGTCCCTGTCTTGCTGTCCTCATTCCTGTTAGAGACCAAGACCCAAAGAGGAGGAAGAAAAGGAAGGAAGAAAAGAAAAAGAAATAAAAGGAACGAGTGCCTGACGGTCGGCGCGGACAAATTATCGAGCGTATGGTCTGTTCATCAAGGCAATCTCTCTGGCAATCTCTCCCCATTCTAATTCCCGCTTGATACCTGCGGAGCCATGCTTCTTCGTCTGGTTTAACTCTTCCCACTTGAGGAGTTCGTAGGCGAAGCGCAGATGAGGTTGGATAATAACATTGAGTCTGCGAGCACGGACAAAGCAGTATGCTCGTGGAAAAGATAAATTTAAGGATCGCATCACTTCAGCAATGCAAATAGTGGCGCTGCGTGACACGCCGACTCGGCAGTGCACCAACGTGGCCGTTCCGTTGCGCCGGCCACGGTCTGGGGGTAACAGTCAGTAAGATTCCGCTGACACTCTTTTTACTGGCACAAACTCACCGATGAATTCAAGGCACTTCTCAAACTCATCTGTCAGAGGGTCGATGCCGTTATCTTGGACACCTTGAACAACGCATACGTTTTCCGTGCCCCATTCCTCCAGCTCGCCATCCCTCCACATCGACATCTCGCCTACGCTGAGGATCTGTCCAATTCCAAGGGCTCTCAACAGATCAGGATTGTTGGCGTGTCCGAGGTTTCCGAGGTACATGTAGTCCAGAACTCGGCTAGGAAAAGAGCCATCAAGGCCCGGTAGCCATGCGGGTTCTTTGATTAAGGCTGTGACTTCACGAAGGCCTTTGCCGGCATGCAAAGGCGACTCATGTAGTAGTCGAGCCTCAATACATGTCAGCAGGGCTACATCTGTTGGATATGCGAAAAAGTTGCGCTGCTTCACAGTATGCAAATGAAGCCAAGCATCGGCGATGCCCCGTCCTGTGCTGTAGCTGTAGTAGGCGATTCCGAGCATCGTAGACTCGGTGTACCCGTCCGCACAATGAATAAGCAGTTTCCTGGGGCGCAGGTTTACAGAGTCCTGCTCCAAATGTTCATCTATGTCTAAGTCACCGTCGATATCCAAGTTCGACTTGTCGAGGGTGGGCAGAGTGCCATGAGCCAGATGATAAATCCATTTGCAAGTTTCCAAGATTCCGTCAGCTTCGGCTTGTGACCATGTTGGCGGTAAGATGCTCCCAGATGACGGAAAGTCGATGTACGGCCGCTGGGTAGGCTCAATTCTAGACTCGGCCAGAGCACGCAGTGTTGCTGGGTTGAGGCGACCGACGTCACTGCACTCAATAAGCACATCGTACTGGTCTTCTTCTTCAGAGGTTGGATCTGGTGTTGGACCCAACCAAACATTATGAGATATTTCTGAAGCCTTGGTCATGTTATACATCTCTTTCCGTTCTTGATGAAAGAAGTCGAGGATATTGCCTGTAAGCTTGCCTTCAGAGTCGATAGCAACAATTTCCTTGTAGTTAATCTCGAACTCTTGGAAGGACGAGACACATAGGAACGTGTTGTATTCTGGGAGAGTATGACCCTGAGTCTCGTGTTTTTGCCGCCACCGTAATTGAGCTGTGGCAATATCAAGGCCGAGCCTTCGAACAACAGTATCATCCTCTCCATACACAATGATATCAGATATCATAGCCGCTTTCGCAGCCTGTATCTGAAAGTTTCTCACGCAGAAGCCATCACGTGGGTCGACGTCAAGAAACTCGGGTGACGCATTCAGTTGCATGAACTCATGGGGAGCAATGGCGCCTTTAAGGCGCGAAACCGTCACATCACCGTCCGCCTTGACGAGTGTGACTCCGCGAACGCATGTCGGCGTTTTCCTCAATGACCGGTGACGAGCGATGAAGAAAGCTTGCTGGATATGGTTGTGGGGGTGGAGCCCGTGGAACCAAGGGAAGACTTGATTCGGGTCCGGTAATGGCTGACGGGAAATATAGTCCACAGCAGCAGCCACGTTGGCGGGGCTGATATTGTAGCAAGTTAATGGACCGTGTTCATACCGTCCAAATTTGTCGGGAGGATAGAGAAATGATGACTGCTGGATTTGTTCATCATCTCGGGGAGGAGATGGCGGGGGTGTATTGGGCTCCTCTGCTGGAACTGGTCCCGGAGGACAGACTGGGAGATGTTTGTTTGGTACGGGAACTTGGGCAGTGCCGATAGGCTCCAACGAGATGGACGACACGGAGCCTACAGTCGACGATGGGCGATGAGGGGGAATTGGCCTCGGAAGTGCTATTGTGGCCATTTTCAAAGGAGGAGGCCTCGTCTGCGACCAACTAGAAGTCCCGATTGACGTACGGTGTGTTGGACAATGGAGTCAATGTCGGAATGAGGGTATTCGGCTAAGAAGGAAGAGTTGATACGAGTGTCGTTCTCGGCGGTCGGGGCTAATACTGGAAGCTGACGGTGCAACCGAGCCAATGTGAAGCGGCTTAGAAGTACAGAGACCGTCCTTGTTTAAGGCCTTCTACCGCGGTCGGTGCTTCCTAAAATACATGGGATGTTAGAAGTGAGGTTGGAATTGTGCGAAGATGAGAGTAAGGAACTATAGCAACAGCATATTGCAAGAGAGAAGGGTGTTGGCTACAGTAGTCTAAGGCCAGGTATGGAGTACGCACTTCAGAAGACTGAATCGGCGTGTTGGCTGGGGATAACGGATGATCCCTATTACACATGCCCAGGAGCAATAGCAGTAAGACCAGCCCGATCGGTGATAAGCGGCGGGGAAGGGGGGCTGCGTAGCTGAGTTATCTTGCAGCAACGATGATAACGTCGTGGTAGAGACGGTAAAGGTGGAGAATGTGGTAAATAAGAGGACGGCGACTCAAAAACACCTTAAGCGACTGATAACAGTACGACAGACGGCAACAAGTAAGGGTTGAAATGTAAGGGGACTGATGGAGAAGATTGTAAAAAGGGAGAGAAACGGGTATGATACAGATGAAAGGGTAGAAAAAGGTTCCGTTGAGAAACGCAGAACTGAGAATGCGAAGAGTCGAGAGGGGAGATGGACAGTGGTACTGCACGCGCACAGTACGATAGCTCGGTGCTAAGGTACAATCAATTCGACATGGATGCAAGGCGACCACCACCCCAAGATTGAGACTAGACCAAGCCTAAGCCTGCCTAGACGTGGAGAGGAGTGAGAAACACGGATAGGAAGGCAGGGGAGAGAGGAGGGAAAACAAGGGAGGGGGGCAGGGTGGGCGGCAATTTGGGCTGGAGCACGGCCATAGTACTGGTTGCAGTACAGTGTTGGTAGCATCTAGCCGTCTCTCATTGCAAGACCATGCGTACCGTATGGGACATTTGCTGTTAAGTTAATTTGTCGCCAGCAGGTAGACTAAATGGCACAGCACGCCACTGGAGACCTGGGGTTGCCCGTCTCTAGTGCCGATCTGGTCTGGGCCCCTTCATAGGTTTCCCAGCCCCTTCCAGCTAAGATGCTTTGGAAAGGAGCGTTTTTCTATGACCTACCCATACACTACTACGTAAGTGACCAGTAACGTAAACAACTGGCGTTGGCAATAACAATGAAGACGACCATACCGGGGGATTCGGGCATGCGCTTGAATGCACGCAATCCGATGCTTCTCAGAGCCAAGAGATTGCCTAAGACAGTTTGGCATTGGAACACAACAGGTCACCTCATCCCCGTCGGAGAGTATTGTGTGTGTGCGGCGCATTCATTTACAGTCTACTGCCTCTCGTGATCACCAGGATGAGGCAGGGCAGTACCAAGTGTCGCGAGATCAGCCAAGATAACGACACCATAGTGGACCAACACCAGCTAGGATAAGACAGAAGACCAGAGGGGAACCCTTGACCCAGGGGGCAAATTGGGCGGGCACCGGGGGAGACGGGGAGCAGCATGAAGGGGTGGTGTCACCTCGCTATCGAAGTGGAGACGAGGCGCTGGCGCTAGCGTACAGGTGATGCATCCAGTGACCTGTTGCGCGATTGGCCAGTTGGCTGGGTCACAACTGGGGTCTAGTGGCAGGAGTAAGGTAAAGGGAAGAATGAGATGATGTATGGGCAGAAACGACCAACATTCTGTTAGATACCAATAAGGAAAACCTTTGCCTTGTTGGCTAGCGATTATTAAACTGAGATGGGGGAGTATGGTATGTGATGGCATGTGTATGGCTCAGGAGGGGCTCCAAGTGGAATATCCTTACCTAAGCCCATCCCTGCTTCTCTGTTGGCCATGAAACAAGATGAGTGACAGCAAAGATTAGTGCGTGCATTTGCATCTGAGTCTGCAGCTTCGTCCGTGAACTGTGTGTCTGTCTCTGCTTATGCCTATCTCCTGCCGCCATTGAGGGGATGTCATTCACGGCGCAATGGCATAAAACAACAGACCTCTGTTAGGCCATGGGCAACCACCCATTCTACTAATACATTCATTCCGCCGCGTCGCCTAGAGCCTTTGCAATGAGTGTAGTTGCATTCTCAGCCCGGAATTCACCAGCAAGACTTAAGTTAGCTTCACTCTGCCCAGTCATTTGTCTAGTCGCCCATTTCAAAAGCGGGCCACCTGCCGTTGGGACATGATGTTATTGTCGGTGCACGCCTCGACTCCGCCAAGGTAAAATAAAGTGATTTGATGCCTGTCTCTTCTGCATTTTGCAATACAAATCTACCCTCAGCAATTACACAGTTTGGACTCTCCCGGCCGTCACTAGGGTCCAATCAGGGATCCTAGTTTATACATCTCGGTTCTTGATATTTTCCGACAGCATGCCCTCCAAGCCTACTAGGTCTTCCTCCCGATTGCCTAGGGCGGATATGCCATTTGCTAGCATGGGTGCATGTACAACGCCTTACGACAACTCCCTGTGAAAACCCCATCGACAACTATCTCTCATAGGCCGTTTCCACACCTGTCATTAACCTTCAATCGGCTCTGGGGTTCTGAGTTTCATCATTCGTTGTTCGCCAGCCATCACTAATTTGCTTAAAGTCGCAAAATGCACGCCCTGGATTGAATAGAATGCGTGAATTACTGATGTAACTAAGATTTCCAGCGATGAAAATTGTGTATCGCATATTCCCCAAGCTTTCCTACCGGCAAAATTGAGGGAATGAAGCGGTAACCAGGGTCGCACATGTCTTATTTCCCCTTCCCAAACGAGACACAGACAGGACGAGATGCTTTCTTCTTGCTGTGTTGCACGTATTACCCATATCCTTACTTCGAACATGTTCCATGCTCACCATTTCTCTTCGATAATTGAATGATAGCTACTGAGTAACGAATTGGAAGGAACCCAGGATATCGGACATCGTCACAGGACCTCTGTTGTAACAGTAGAGTAGTGCAAGAGAAACCAGCCCTATGACGACTGGCCTTGGACACCAGAACGTGGTAGCGGCGGGGGCGGGGTTATTACAGCACCTTAGTTTGCACCAATGACCCCACATGCTCCGGTTTAAACACTACTGGACAATATAGCACACACGTTAAGCAGCATTGTAAATAGTGGGGTAAAAGAAACTGGTGTCGGTCGCTACTGCAATACGATTAAATGGCTATACGTGAAAAGTTACTAAAGCATACTCAAATGTAAAAGAAAAGATATATAAGAGACTGAAATACCTGCTAATGATATCAGGTGTAGAATCATTGTTGAGATCGGACAACGACTTGTAGTTCAGCAGAAAGTCAGTCATTCACCCGACTGAGTGAAGACAATCCATAGCTTCCGGTGGGGAGTCTCCGCTTAACTCACTAACCAAGCTTCCCTTCACAACGACTGTGCCTCCTGTGGCTCATGCGTCGGAACAATTATACATGCTAGTAGGTCTTATCACAAAATGGCACCTAGTATACGTCATCGTTAGGAATGACAAGTGCTCAGTACCCATCCATCGGCCTCCCCCATGAAGCTGGCTTAGTGAGGCACATGCTTTTGACTTTCCCCTTACCTAAGGCATCTACGCCCAGGTTAACCCTCTGTCCCTTCCTCCTGCTTCCCTACGTCGCCACCTTTCACTTCTCTAGCTACCATAGCAAACGGAACCTGCAGTAGAACGCTAGTCTCTGCTGGGAAACTTATGGCAAGATGCTCAGCGTCGATGCCCTTCGTCCTTCACGTTAGACTTTTGCAACAAGTTGCCGAGTTTTCTTACGTTTCGAAGATTTCTCCTGCCTCCGTAACCTTTCCATATTTTGGCATCGGCTGTCAACCGAACCAACGTTCACGGATAGGTAACTACGTAATTGCGGCTTCAATTATTATTGCTGTCCTCCTACCATTTGACTGGGCTAACGTCGCATCTGTGCCTCGATAGCTTCTTATCCTATTCCCTCGACAACCGCCACACTTCCTTCTCTGACTTGGGTTCCCTACTGGCAACTGCCTTAACAATGCCAAATTTAACAACACCCTTGCGGCAAGTCGAAAGCCGCTCGTAATATTCGATTGGTCTCTTCGAGTGTGGTTTGAACGCTCACAAATTCCCCTTTTCACGGTCACTTAGGTGGACGACCTCTTATTACGCTGCGCTCGGAGATCGAGCCTTCCTGTGAAATCAGTACACCGAAACCTCAAGACAGGTTAAGAGTTCTCGAGATGTCTTCTCCACCGACGGTTCATACATATGGTTCCAAGTGTCGCCTGACACCGGTTGCACAGCCGCTTCCAGCCAGAACTTACGATGGCATTCCCCCTATCACAGCACAGTTCTTTTACTCCTCCGTCATACCCATAGATGACCCATTATCAACTGGTACCATAGCTGGCGCATCTGATACGCGAACCACCCGTGGCCAGACGCGACCCTTCTCGCTAGGCGACAACAATGCTCTTGAGAAAGCATGGCTCAGCTTCTTATCTGACGACGACAGCAAATCTCATGAGCAGCTCATACAGCAAGGTACTTTGAGTTCTCCCATCGAGAAAGCCAATGCGAACAAGCTGGCCCTGCTAGTGCGTCATCTAGCCGCAAAACATAGCCAGAAGCATGGAGGCATGCTTCAGCTATCCTCAGCGGAGGGGTACGCCTCAAGTAACCTTAACACTCCAATCGCAGTCTGTTGCCCCGACCTCTTCATAGATGTGTCTACTGAACTACAAAATACTTTCTGCGCTCTTGTCAGAAAGCACCAGCCTTTGTTAGGCCAGGATAATGTTGTGCAAGAGGTGATGATGGAAATGAGACGTCGGGGATCTGCTGATGCTACGTCTGAGGAGGTCCGACCAAGATCCGGTGAAAATACATCGATGCGCCCTCGAGCAGACTCAGCGCGCTCATGGCAAATGGGTATCGTTGGTTCTTTTAGCCCTCGCCGAGAAGCCGCTACCGAATTTAGTCAGCCCCATAAAGAGAGTGTACTCTCTGTTGTTGAGGCAAAGATGAGAGAAAGGTCTGATTCTCAACCCAGTGAGCAGACGTCACGGCCCTCAACCCCTGGCACTGGTATCTCTTTGCGACCACCCACTGTGGATGATGGTATTTCAGGAAAACCTTTTCTTAGAGCAGGAATCCGCCAACGGCCGCAGGACGGTTATACTACATCTTTCCCTCCAATTGATGTTCCAAGTATCAACAATGCAGAAGAGCATGGAGCGCGACGCCCGATCAAAGAGCAAGAGACTGTGGGGATTAGAACAAGAGCAAATACTATGCAAGCTGCCACTGCAAGTGACGCGAGCTACAGGAGAGAGGCCATCGATGTCGTCGTTGGCGTTTCCAGGTTGCATATGGTGTCCATTCCAGCTCTGCAGATGAAACCCATTTACTGGTCGCCTGTAAATGACATAGCTGTGGTGCTCCGTGCCACATGGTTCTACAGGTTTGTCCTGACCTGTAAAGCGAGCTTGTGATGCAGTATTCTAACGAGAGCATCAGGGATACAATGCTTCCGATCCCCCCATCAGTAGCGAATCAGCTAGAAGCTGGATACCGGGAGCTAAGACCGTATACCGAAACCTGGAGTGACGAGCTGCGTTGTGCAATCGATGTCGGCCCTCTCGGTGAGGAAAAAGTATCACATCGACTGTGGCCAGAAGACATGGCCCACTCCAGTGGCGGTGACAAGCAGATTATCTCTGATCCGCGAATCTCAACGGATCCCTTCTGTGCCGCGAGCTGTTTCTGTGGGGAGGCTGCTGCTGAAGGATCGGTCGACTCGACACCAAAGGTTGGGACAGCAACTCAGCACCGAAGCTATGCAAACTATCATGTCATATATAAAGATGCTTCTCGAGCCTTTCTATTGAAACCCAGCTTAAAGCCCTCCTCATATTACGGAAGGAGGCCAGTCGCGAAGATCATGAAAGGTATGAATATCGGTATCCCTGTTGTTCGCGGCTTCGATCGTCAAGCGTGGGAACATATACATGATAAAAAGAGTAGCCAGGCTACAGTGCATCAGCCTGCCTCATCTGCTAGCGATCCTCCGGAAGTCGTTAGACAGGGCGTTTGCGCAGCCTGTAAAGAGGAAAAGGAGCGAGGACAGGTTACCGATCTCGTTTTAGTTATTCATGGCATCGGGCAGAAGTTTGCCGAACGAGTTGAAAGTTTCCACTTTACGCACGCTATCACTGCGTTTCGTCGAGAAGTGAATTTGGAGTTGAGGAAACCCGAAGTCAAAGGAGTTTTGAGGGAGGACCAGAACGGAATCATGGTGCTCCCAATCAATTGGCGCCATACGCTATCGTTCGAAGATGGTGGGCCAATGACAGAAAATGACAAGGCTACACATGTGCCAGATGGTTTCAGCCTCAAAGACATTGAGCCCTCGAGTATCCCAGCAGTAAGGAGCATGATCTCGGATGTCATGTTTGACATCCCCTTCTACTTGTCTCATCACAAGAGGAAGATGATTGAGGCGCTCGTCACGGAGGCCAACCGGGTCTATCGACTTTGGTGTCGTAATAACCCCGGCTTTACTGAGAAGGGACGTGTTCACCTGATTGGACACTCATTAGGCAGTGCCATGGCCATCGAAATACTTTCTCGGCAACCCACACGCGTGCCGAGGTTGGATTTGTCGACGAGACTGCCGCAGGCCGGATTTTTCGAGTTTGACACCAACAATCTCTTCCTCGTTGGAAGTCCTGCCGGATTCTTCCTGCTTCTCGAAAGAGGCATGCTCGAACCTCGTCGAGGCAGGGTGAAACCCGGCGCTGATCCTGGCGAAATAAATTCGCCCGACGTAACGGGCGAGGTTGGTCGATTTGGCTGCGTTGCTGTAGACAACATTTATAACGTGCTTGCCAAAGAAGACCCCATCGCATACTTGCTCAATGGCACTATAGACCCAGTGTATGCAGCAAGTTTAAGAGTTGCTCATGTACCTTCCAGCGCCAGTTCCATCTTCAAATTTGTTGGAAACGCTGTGCGAAGTTTCATACCGGGGACCATCTCAACCTCAGCAGCCACTGCACCTACTTCCATGCCAAAACCCTCAGTCACGCGACTGCCTTCACAGCTTGAGTTGGAAGTACACGACTTTACGCGAGAGGAAATCGCCGAGAGGAAGGCATACTTGTTAAATGATAATGGCCAGATCGACTACTACTTGAAATCGAGCGGAGGCCCTCTAGAGATACAGTACCTCAACATGTTGGGCGCTCACACGTGCTACTGGACTAGCCAAGACTTTATTCGCATGTTGTGCATTGAAGTGGGGAGGAAGCCAGGGAGGAAAAATACGATTCCAGCTATGAGGGCCCAGAAGATGGCAAAAAGGGTAGTCGTAAGTGGGGATTTGTAATAGATGGGACAAGGCTATTCATTAATAGATGTTGGTGTAAGATTGTTTGCCTCATGAAGCCATGACTTGGTGAGGAAAAGATCGCTCTGTAGTCAGCAAGTATTTTATGCAACCAGAAGTCAGTTTCACATTAGATACATATTTAGTATACATAGGCACTCATTTATTTCGTCAGGCAGAGCCTGATGCTTCTTATTCACTGGCCCCCCTTCTTCCAACCAGACTTTTCCTGTTGGCTTGTTCCAATGAGATATCAAAAACCATCATCTAGCTCCATTAAGTCCTGGTCGAGATCATGGTCCATGCCATATTCGTCTCCCCCATCAACGCCGTAACCCTGCAAGTCATCGACTTTAGAATTTTCGAGCTGTTGGATTCTTTCCAAATCCATTTTCTCTTTGTGCTTCATCAGGTCCTCGTAGCTCCATGTGCTCACACCTTCTTGATCCTTAGCCCTGAACGGCTGCGCCATCTGTTTGAGGAAACGACGTGCGCTACTGACAGCCATGTCTGTACTAAGGTTTGTGTCGGCATCAAGCAGGCCCTGGTTGATCCACTTGGGCAGTTGCGCTCGCTTTTTCTGAAATCTGCGGTCAGCAAGCACCATAATTCCGTAATCGTCTTTGCCTCTCAGGACGCGACCCAGGCATTGGGCGGCGTGTCGCATGGCATCGAACGAGAGGAAATCGTTCTCTCGTATGCGATATGTCTCTCGAAGAAACTCCAGCCTTGCCTTAAGAATCCGAGATTCAGTATACTGGAATGGCACGCCTATACATAAGACAGTCCTGCCGTATTGATGATCAAAATCGATGCCCTCTGAAACCTTTCCCCGAGCGACGCAAAGGAGTACAGCGCCGCGACCGTTGCAGCAGGCCGTTCGATATGTTTCCAGCGCCAAGGAAGTTTCTTGTGCGTCAGGAGTCTCCACAAGAATGAGCTTGTACTTCCAGACCTCTTCGAGTATGTTCATTCCTTGCCACATGCTGATGATCGATTCCATGTAAAGGTACGACGGAAAGAAAACCACCATGCCATCAGGGGTTATTTTGGCGAATTCTGTGAGGAGTGTGCCGTAGTTGCGGACTACACTGGGCTCGTTTCTGACCTGAAAACTTGTTGATACGGAAGCTTGATCACTTCCACGAGTTACAATCATGGGTAAGAAGGATCTTCTTGCTAATGTCATGCTGTATGACTCCTGCACCACGGTCGAGAAACCGAGCATTTTAGGATACATTTCTAGGGGGGAAATGGTACCCGACGTAATGATGACAGAGCTGAATCTGTCAAAAACTGGTCGAATTGCGATAGCAGCATCGAGGCAAGTGAAGTGAATGACCGGGTTAGGCACCTCTGCCGTTTCCGACTCAAAGGGCTCCAGAATGAGGAGAAACCCTTTCTCATATGTTGCCACAAGGGTTGCAAAAGTGGCTACCTCTTGGAGAGGCTGGTAGTCTTCAATATTGGTAAGCTCAAGTGTTCTTACCAGAGACGTTAATCTTTCGGCGCAGAATCGTAGGGGTTTCTTCTCAATGAAAGTGTACTCTCTGAGATGCGCAAGGAAAGACGGAGGTGTCTCAGATATTGTGTGCCTGACTTTCATTCGCGTCTGGCAAATGGTTAACAATAAGAATTTGTGCCCCAACAAGTCCAACCAACCTTCAGGTACTCGATAAACCTCTTGAGAAAGGAAACGAAGTGCTCGGCTCTTCTGATATTGCCCGGTACGGCCTCCTTCAGCAAATCATCCGGCAAAGCTATGTAACGGTAAGCAGGTTATCCATTAAGAAAATGAAGCTGTAAATGCTGCCTACCTGGGTTTGCCATGAATGCATCCTCTTGTCTTGCTTCATCGGCATCCCGCAATCCCTCAACAAGTTTTTGATACTCATTCTGAAGCTGCTCCTGATCGGTATCTCTCATTTCCGCAATCTTCCGCTCCAGGTTCTGTGCACCCCTTGTTGCCTTTCGTAAAGAATCCTCCGTGATATCGGTGCTTAGTGACTCAATGCAGACATTGTCAATGTTGTGAGCTTCATCAAAGACGACGATGCAATCTTTTGACAATTCTTTCGAAACCCTTTCGGCGATCTTGGGATCAAGCAGATAGTGATAGGAGTAGATGATGACGTTGCAAAATTGCATCTGGCTCAACTTAGCTGTATGAACTAAAGGCACGTTTAGTTGTGGTGAGCTGTTACCATGCGTCTTGCAGTAAAATAAGGGCACTGTTTGTGTTGTTCGCCATAGCGCAAAAGGCCGTCAAAGGTCCAAACTCCATTAGGGATCAGATTGTGCGGCTCCAGAAGATCCAGGTTCTACGAAATTTGGTGATGAGACCAGGCAGCATTTGGTACATGGGGCACTTACATCATGGTAAACGCACACATCGACGTTCTCACCTCGGTCTTTCTTCTCTTTGATGAAACCTGCTGTGAGGCTTCGACAACGAGCATCGACGATGGCGCCGCTTTTTTCTTGCTTTACTGAAGGGTGAAGGCATAAGTTCTTTCGACTAGTCAACCCAAGACCTCTGAACTCTTCTTCCTCGCCGAGCTCTTGAGCTCTGTATTGCATAAGAGCCTTCAACTCTGCAAGGGCTTTCTCAATCTCCGACATAGTACCTAGAAAAAGTTAAATGAGATCCCATACTTTACTATTTTAGACAATGCAGACGTACGCGAGCAGTAGATCAATTTGCGATGTTCCGGGTTGTGCTGTTGATAGGCCACAATAAGAGACAGCAATGATACTGTTTTCCCTGTTCCTGAAGGCATCTCTAAGACACAATGCCCACCCGCATCCAAAGTTTCTATGAAATTTGAAATTAAGCGTCAGCACCGGATACTGTACATGGGAGGGTAATTGCGCGGGCTAACTTTTCAGATCACACATGTAGCTGCGGCCAACAGATGGTCAGTATTTTGCCAGTCCAAGTAGCCGCATACTGAGGACTCACGCATATTGCTCGGGGTATATCCTGGGATACGGGAAAAGAATGGGAAGATCACTAAGAACCAGGTGTAAGCTGTAGCAGAGAAAGATTGCAGACAAACGGCAGAAGCTTACTCGATGAAGAACTTCATTTTGAGATGAGAATGCGTGGCTAGAACTAGCTAGGCCACTGATGGAGTAGTTCAAGTGGATAAAAAGAGGTGCAAGGCGAGAGAAGAGTATAGTCGATTAGGTTGCAAGATGGAGGTACGGCCGAGGGGATTGCGGAAGCTGCAATCTTGAGTTACCGACTGTTTAGACGTGGTTGAGTAAGAGTTCCGTCGATAAACAAAGAAAAGAAATAGTGCGTAAACACTGCAAACTAATGGAGTGGACGTTTTGACGCAGGTGGGTGAGACAGGTGTATTTTTGTCCTCGCCAGTCTTGCTTGTGGCAACTCGCGATGATCCTGAACGCTGATGAGTCGTGCAGTGCCGTGCCTAAAACTCGGACTCCGTGACGTGAGGTAGCACAGGGGAGCCCAGTGAGTTCTACAGGTACCAAATGGTCGCGATATCACGTGATTTTCAAACTGTGGTATGAGTATCACGTGATTATTTCTAATACGGAAGGCGGTGAATTTCAACATCATTATGCTCTAGGCAGTTGTGGAACAATCTGAAGCTGACCAAAAGCGATTCCAAACTTGGTCCAGCCGTTGATTGAATTGTCTTGAGCTGCCATGCGGCTGGAGGTCAAAGAAAACTGACTAACTTTCTTCATTTCTTCTCACTTAACTAGTTTAATGCATTCGATTTTAAATATCCATTAATAGCACTTGTAGTTGCCTCTGCCAGCCTGGCTTCCCGTGGCCTGGGTCTATGGAAGTGGAAGGTTTGACTATCCCCAGACCATAAGTTAACAAATGCTTAAAAGCTTTGAAGCACCCCGGTTCTCAACAAGCCACAAGCTGTGAGATCGTATAGGGCAGATTTGCGGTTTCAGTATCCCTAAGGTGGACATTTGGATATGGTCATCACTGTTTTTCGTTTCATTGGGGGCATGCCGATTGGGTCAGAGATAGCAATGTCAAGGCGTTCACGACACAGATTTTTGTAAACATCTATCCATTGGCAATGCGCAGGGCCCAACATTTACCAGGAGACGTGGCACTTCGAGAGCTGATGACGAGCCGCGAATCAGAGCGATTTCACAATGAACACTTTGCGTCGTATACAAAGCTGTATGAGCATGCTGTTCATCTTACGAACGAGTTACAAAGCAACCAATACACCCATCCTCTCTTCCTCTGCGGCGGAGTATCTTGGTAACCCTGCGATTCTGATGCCCCTTTTGATTTTGTTCGTGTTGTAGGAGACAGTACAAGGATCGGATTTCGCCTGGGGCTGTAGCATGCCTATTGTGAGTAATCCTGGAAAGGTGCATTGAAAACGACTACAACAACCGAAGCCTAAAGGAGACTCAGACAGAGATCCCTTCGACTCATAAGAAGTGTAACAGGCGCGCTTAATGCGTAAACAGGAACAAGCACGTAAGGCTTCAGACTACTTCCGGGGTTCATGCCTGGCACAGGTCAACATGACCATGAGTCTACTGCAAAGGCTGCCTTTGATCCGACCAAGGCAAGTTTTCCAGCTGAAGACAGACCTCTATTAAAAAAAAAAAAAAAAAAAAAAAAAAGGTCCGAGATAACTATCGCTCGCCTACATCGTCCATTGGATTGACGGCGCATGATTGGGCTTAGGACTTTACCACAGGGTATGCGAGGCACAAATCCGCTCGGGGGCAATTAGGAGCTGGTGACGGCAGACGCAGGCGAGGATTGGCTGATTGCGCTTCACTGCGCACCGCAGCGCAGTGATGAGCAAACAGGCGAGTGCTATCCGCAGACGAGTGCAGGCGCACTCTTGATCTAGTCATTCTCTAGTCAGCACTTAATCAGATGGTGTGAGTGCCTCTGGCATTAATTGGTGGTGGGTGAGCGCGCGCGCATACGGAAGTGGCCCAGAGCATATCCATGTCATCTGGGAAGGTGTGAAGGTATAAATAAATAGTATTAGTCTGCCTACGGAATGATCGAGTTCCGACTGAATGTGGACACCTTGGGTCGGACAGAATGCGAATACTAGGGACAACAAGGTGAAGCACAGTACTTTTAAACCAGACCAAAGTACCTTTTCTAACATCCACCATGGCGCAGGTTACGCCCGACTGCGCTTTCGCTTCGCAGTATCCTTGCACCGGCTTCCAGGGAGCCGAACCGAATACAGGGATACACATTGCCTGTCTTGCCTGTCTGTGTCCCACCTTGCAGTAGTGTACCGTCAGCGGTAACTAGAGCGTGACTAGACAGGCACTGAAGTCTTTTTCCTTTTTAGGAGAGGGGTGGCAGGCCATTGTGTATCACGGGGCCAGCCTTGACTGGACTTGAGCGCGTTCACAGGATTTAACCTACTCGCCTCTCCATGCTGTCTTAAAACAATGTAAGAGAAGGAGAGCAATGTGGGCAGCCAGCGGGCACTAGCAAAGCCATAATAAACGTCCTTGCCTCAGACGGGAGTCGTTGAAGGAATGAGAATTATGCATGTAACGTCTGATTCGGGTCTGGTCTGGCGGCATATACCTAGGCTCAAGTATGACGAACTGCTGCATAAGGACTGGTCGGGTTTGGCTCGCAGATATACGTACACGATTCAGCATTATTTCGGAGAAGGTGAAAGTTGCGGGCTGAAGGAGGAGGGGAAAGGTCAACGGCAGGTTGTTTTCCCTCCACTACCTGTGCAACTTTGCAGTAAGGGTCCTGACCCGGGTTCAGGGATGATCGCATGCCCCAACAACCCTCTGGTGCCTGGACCAAACCCGTAGCCACTTGCTGAGTGACATTTCGACTCTTGTCTTGGTTCTAAAGAAAGAGGCAGTCCAGACTCGCCGGGGAAACCGGTGCCAAACAATGAACAGGCACAACAGGGCAGGAAACAAAGTAGACCCATAACCTTGGGTTGGTGGTAAAACGTACAGAGTGAGAGACGGCTCAAACACGAGAAACGATTCACCCCCCGCAAGTATAACTAATAGCGCTATATCCCCACCGCAGGCCATACCTTGTGCAGGGTTGTGTATCTACATTAGATCTTTTGTGCACTCGAAAACACCCGCTGGTAGGGGCATGTCCTATTTCATATTGGGTGATGTCAACTCATCCGCAAGGGCAGACGCATGCCTCTACCCGTCCTTCTAGGGTGTAAGCTTTCCAGCCTCCAGGAACCGTCTCCGCTGTGCCACCATCATGCGGCGGTTCTTCCCAATGGCCTTGAACGGGAAGACTTTACATTTATGGGAATCTCACCAAAAACGAGCACAATCTCAGCATACCTGAGATACACTCCTTAAAAGATGTCCATGCACGACCTTCCAAATACCCTCACTAATCTTAACCCTGATCCATCGTCAGCAGCTCATGACCCACAGTAGCAAAATTAACAGCGCGGCCTATCAACGCTGAACTACTTTCATTGGTACCATAAGGCTCACCCTGTCCGAATAAACCCATTGATACGATGTTTGACAAGAGCATCTCGTAGTAGTCTGTCTGATCACAACCACCATATACAGGTATTTCTAACTCTCCCCTTTCCGGCCCAGCACAAAGGCCCGGATGAGTGACGATAGCGGCGTCGGTTTCTTAGTGAGACATGGGATTCGCAACCTCCAGAGCGCCACAACGATCTGTCTCAGAGTTTAAAGTGCGGCTTGTCACTTGCAGGCTTCGGAGAGCAGAGTGTCTGCTTGATGCGACGACTATTGGGGCAAGCCAGGTACTTCACTAGCCAGGCTATTAGAGAACTCTCCCTAATGCTGCTTCGTCCCACAATTTGGGCAACGTGCAAGGGCAGCTGAAGCTCAGTCCTAGAACCAGGGAATAATGGCTACTTGGCACTAGCTGGTCCTGGTCTGTGCCAGTGCAACACCAGTGCCAATGCCAGCCAACGCTAGAAGATGGGTGGGCATAATGGCCACTGGGAGAGATGGTAAAAAAGAAAAAGAAAAAAAAATTGAAGATCCCTGGCGAACTGGTCCGCATGTCGGGGCAATTGTGCCTCACCTATTGAGTTGCCTTGCTTTGCCAACAGCGAGGTAAGGCGCTGGAGCCACTTGCAGCACAGCGCAGGTCACTGATTGCCCTGCAGCTCGTGTACAAAGTGACAAAGTGCTGATGAAGGGAAGGAAGTACGTACCCTGACCGACAGTATCCATCGCGGTCGATGTGGCTCAATCGATCGATAGAGGCCCATTTAAAGCACGGATACCGTCCAGTCTAGGTGTCTCCCTGGTAAGTCTTTAATTAAACGGTTGGCTGTCGTTCTTTCCACTACCAACAAGCTTGCCGTTGTCTTGTCACAGTGCTTCTGTCACAACCATTCATTATTGCTCTTACCATCGCCGGGCCCATCCCATCCATTTCATTCTATCTTACCCTATTCCATCCTACTAGCCTGTCATCCGTGTCCATTATCATCCGTTGTTGGTAACCTGCCTCCGTTTTCCGTCCCCAAACCCCTGCACAAATGATGCCAGTTAATGGCCTAGGGCTCACTTAGAGCAAGGACTCTACGCTTAACATCCTAGTCTAGTTTCTGGGCAAGTCCCTCTTTCATTCCCAAATTGCTGGACTGGCCATTCAAGGCCCGCGAAACCAACAGATGAATGTGCGTCGGCTGCGTTGGTGCAAGCATTTATCGTACCACGAGCTGTTTTTGCATTCTCCCAAGTTGGCTAGAGCCACCACCAACAGACACGCCCGGCGAGCCAGGGGTAAGTGGATAAAGGACAAGGAAGATGGGGACAGGAGAAGAGAGCGCTGGACCTGCCCTGACTGGCATTGGGCACTGATCTCTTGCCCCTTCAGAGTTTTCTTCTCGTTGTGACTCCTCCTGGCCCTTAACTCAACCCCATGAAGTCACGGATAGTGAACTTCAATTGAGAATAGTCGCCCTTGCTCCCCAAGTAGGTGCTATTTGTAGTTGTAGTGCTGCTGCAAATGCCTCGCCATACATACGTCGGCTCTCTGGGTCCTTTCTGTCGTCTTCTCTTTCATATACACCCTCTTCTTCCTTTCCACCCACCTTGTCCACATCCCTCCACGTCTCGCGGCCCCCAATGACACCCTTCCCAGGCTGTTTGAATCCTTCACAGGACGGTCCAACCATCACCAACACGCTCCAACACTAGGTACCCTAACTCGAGCCTTTGCAATTCCATGCCTTGCTCCACCACTTTGTCCTTCTGTTCCCTGCCTGCCCCCATATTCCTGCTGTCTTTCGCCTTCGCTTGCCTTACATGACCACTATGCATTGCTTGTTGTATCAGTATCTGCTTCTGTCGCTCAGTTCGCGCGTCTCTCTCACTATCTCTGCCTCACTCCCCATTCATTCTCTACTTCCCTCTTGTATGCACCTCCTCTTCTCCATTCCAGAAATACACTAGACACTACCTCTCTCGCCCCCAGGTGTCTGTTGTGCTATTCGTATCTTGTATCATATACGTGCTATACTAACACACATACATATATCGACCTTACCGTCCTTGCGACCTTGAGCTGCAACTGGGCCGCTTTCTCTACAAGCATGGCCAGGCAGAAGTAGTTAGAGATCCTGCCTTGAACCTCTATAAAATTCCCCGAGTCTACTTCCCCAGTCTGCCTCGGATGATTTAACAAGAACAGTCTGTCGGCCTTGCTTTATCGTTTCTCCCTCTCCCTCTCTCAGTCTACCAGCCACCCTGCAGCTGACGATCGAAGCAACTTCTCTTCTTCCAACCAGTTTACCCACTCATCTCGTGTCCCCTACAAACACCAACCAACTGGGTCTGCTTTTTTGTATTCCACATACAGATACTGTACCTAACTCCCCTTGGCCTCCTCATTCTCTCTTGCCCTGCACTCTAGGTACACACGCACGCTCGCGCCCGTCTCCCCACACACTCCCTACCCTGCCGCTCCTTACCATAATAAGGTAAGGTACACACGTCTGGTCTCCCCCTTGTCATCGCTCTCCTGCTACTTTGTCTTGCCCCTCTCAGATTCAGGCACGTTTTTTATAAGTGTCTGGCTGCCCATCTTACCTCCTGCCCTTCAGCCTTCCTGGGCAAGGTTGCCAATCAGATACACACTCCCCGATCTATCCTATCCACACACTCCTCCCACTCACACGCATCCTTCCAAGTCCCAACTCGGCACCCTCCACCCCCTCTAGGGCCTAACTGCGTCCTGTTCCGTACGCCCTGTTGGTATATAAATCGAACTTTTGCGTCCAACAAAGTCCGGGGGGAGAAGGGCAAATCGATCAAAATTAACAAAAGGTTGTGGCCTCGCCAGTCATGGACCTCACACCACCATCATTAACAAGGTCGCCGGCGTCTTCAACTCACACCTATTGTCCGTCGGAGCGGTCTTCTCTGGATTATCCATCTCCAGATCTCTCAGCCCAGCAGTACAAGCTTGCCTCCCTATACGCCGCTGGCCAGCTGTGTTCTCTGGGCCAGGCAGCCGAGGCTGATACGTCTCTGCCGCCTCTGGATTCCACTGCAACCACTGAGTGGACCACACCCGACGTCATGGCACCAGCATCTTCATCTTTGTCCATCCCGAATGTTCTGTCATCGGAATATGATCCTTTTTCAGAATATGACCCCCCTGTGGTGGCCTCGTACGGATCCGAGACTTATCCTCCGCCGCCCTCGCACTCTTCTTCAGTTGGAAACCCGCCGCATTCGCTGGCAGATGCCACCGGTCGTTCGCCTGCACCATCATCTACAAGAAGCTCATTTTCGTATACCCATGGCGGCCATTCTGCAGCCCATTTAGGTACGAGGATCAAAATGGAGAACGTCAATGACTATGGTTCAGGAGTTGATGTTTCTCATTACCCCTCGCCACGCTCGATGCAAGCTCCATATATGACGGAGCCGGGCCATTACGCAAGCCCACATCAGAGTTACTTGTCAGACAGTCACTCGCCGGCCTGGTCAAAATCCGAGCTTGATGCTGATGCTTACTATCAAAACCAGCCGACGGGGGAGTCCAGCCCGCCTTACCACAATAGCTCAAAACGTGTGGATCAACTAAAACACAGCCGACCGAAGAGGGCGTCACGTCGTATGACAACAGCAGCGGATGCCAATTACCAGTGTGAGGTCAAGGGGTGCGGCAAACTGTTCAGTCGCAGTTACAACTACAAGGCCCATTTGGAGACCCACGACGAGAAGAGAGAGTATCCCTTCCCCTGTCCAGTGGCCGACTGCAACAAGAAGTTTGTAAGAAAGACAGATTTACAACGACACAACCAGAGCGTGCACATGAAGGAAAGGAACCATAAATGCGATTACTGCAGTCGCCTCTTTGCTCGCAAGGACACGCTTCGAAGGTAAGTCACGAAAGGAGACCTCGGAGCCGCTGGCACCAAGAGAAGCGCGGGCTGACCCTAGAGCCAGACATATGGAAGACGGCTGTTCTAAGCGGTTTGATGTTGGAACTTGTGACCTACGTATCGACGGCTATGAAGGTGTGGGCGCGATCAATCGCAGTGTAGGAGGATCCGCCCATCCCTTGGTACCAGCACACGGTACTCTTCCGCCGATTACGATGCCTATGGATACCAGTAATGGCTTACTACACCCGGCGTCTTCGGCAAACAGGAGCAGAAGCGTCATGTCCGGCACGAGCGATGGTGGTCAAAGCGACAGCTGGCCACGATAAAGCGTTCAAGGCAAGGGCGATGACGTAAGTTACAAGAGACACGGTCAAAACAGGCAAGCATGGTTTCTCAAAACAATCACATTTGTATTATCAAACGGGAGGATTTAGGAGATTTCTTTTGGGTAGCGCAACACCATCTTTCTTTTGGGTAGATACCTGGGCAATGGCGTTGGAACCACCAGGTCTGGTCAGGGCAATGAAATGGTCTAGATGAGTCATTATATCTGATGAGCCCTGATGATGTCTTGCAGAAATTCTGTCTACATAAGAATCCATGCTGGAACTTTTCCTGCAGCAGTGCTACATGGGTCGCCGGTTTGCCATTCATCTGCAAGTCTGTTAGTGAACAAGGAAGAAGACATGTCCAAAACGACGCAGCTGGGATACACTGCATACTCATTTGATGGCTTAGAGCCTAGGCAGACAGCCCGATAGGGCTGCCAATTGAATTCAGGTTTCGCCATCATCATTGGGTCGGGAAGCAGCTACGCGATTGGCAGCGCAAGCGCCAGGAAATAAGCAGATGGGGAGATGCTGCATTACAACTCCACGAAGCGTGCATCTCAGCCGTACGGCTATGGTAGGGTCGAAAATGCCTATGACGGGCTATCTTAGGTGAGCGGGGGAAATGCTGTAGAACAGCAATGACAGATGTGGGATGTCGTGATTGCGGAGTGCATTTGAGCATATGGGTTCTGCTATACGACCGTGTAACTCACTACTAACTACTATGCGTATTGAGAATTGCAACGGCAAGGAGGAGCAAGATGTGACAGACTGCTGCCTTGAGTCTGCGGCCGCCCCACCAACCACCATCCGTAGTCATCGTAGACAGGCCAATTAAATTCCATCATTGGGCACCTTGCTTTACTTGGTCGAGGTAGGACCATTGGTTGGTTTGTTGGTTGGTTGGTTAGTTCGTTGTTGGAAGGTATGCAATTGCTTGGCTGGCGGGAGTACCAAATTAGTACTTTGGGAAGAGGGGTGGGTGTACGGACATTGACCCCAATATTGTAATGCTCCATTTTGCGTGCTGTTTTAGCCTTCATTTACCAGGATAAGGCAGGTTGTCTTGTCCTGGTGTGCTGGCAAACAATAAAGGTTTTGTGGGCAAAGGACTCAATCTACGCCCTGCTGATAAAGCGTAAGACCATGACGGTACTTCTGCGATGGCGACTGCAGTGTCAATGAGGGAGCCCCTTCGCCACTGTCACTGAGGCCCGCCACGTCTCACCTCACCTCAGAGGTGCCCATGTAATAATATAAGAAGGCTGGAATAACAATGGCCAGGACCCCGTCCATCGTGGGGTGGTCTCAAAAAAAATGTGCTGGGCTCATGATACACTCAAGGCAGACTAAGGCATGCTCCAGTAACACTGAAGACAAATGCTCCACTCCATTACACCAACTTAGCCTAAGCTTGAACAAGTAAAACATAAACCCGAGGATTAGCACAAGTACCATTCCAGAAGGTATTCTAAGCTTTACCATCTAATCGTGATTTGTTCTATCCTGTGGCTCGTCTTATGTCTTGCATCCCTCCTTCGGTCCATTCTCGGTCGTCACAAACGAGTCTTCATCAGTAAGTCAAATCACGGCCCCCAACTACGCCAGCATCCCACTTCTTGATGCCTTTCTCTATTTTAGCGTCTAACCCCCTTTTCATTTGGCACAGCATAATCTACCTGTGGTAATCGCACGCAAAAGGTCGCCGCCATCTTTTGAAGTCTGTTGGCCAGGATAAGAAGAATTACGGGGCTCTTCATCCATCCTAGACGATCTCGACTGCTAGTAGCAACGGATGAGATTACGACCCTAACTCTCCCTCTCACGCCGGGCGTGCCTTGACAGTTACCATCCCTTGGCCTATTCCAACATTCTTTGGCCATGCTGCCTGGTAGGGCTGGCGTGCAACTGCATGCATCCACACCGTGATGTCGGGTTGGGGCACGGACGCCCGCCGTGTCACTCTCCACCCATACAGCCTATCAGGTACGTATGCAGATATGATACTCGTCGTACCAGTTTTTACAGTGGTCTAGTTCTTCCATTTGCACCGCCTTCTTGAATTTCTAACTATGTCCCGGAATCGCATACGATGCCCTTGCACCCACTGAAAATTGCAAAAAATTGAAAATACCTAACCCCATGGATCGGACCTGTCTAGGACGTCCTCATCAAGCAAAGGACCATGCCCATCCATAATTAACTGCCCTTGAACGGGCGTACACATGAGGCATTTCGAATTCTAGACGTTTGCACACATGTGCGCCTTCTCGAACTTAGAGTAACCGGACTTTCGTCTCAATCGATATCGAGTTACTTCTGTTCTGCGTTTGTCGGGCAATCATACCTCACCTGCATACAACAAGCCTGCTTGGCTGACAACGATCCGTGCCCGAAATCCACGACATATGCTTAGGCCAAATGATTCAGTGAGATGGTAGTGGCAGGTCAGGGGTTTTGAAGTGGCTAAGAGATTGATGTTAGTTACGGATGCCCGGCACCGAATTCAGGCTTAGATTCACTGGAGCGCCCAGCACATCAACAGCTCCAGAGAGAGGATGCCATCAGTCAGTATCCGGAAAACTCAATTCTATTACTTTTCAAGCCGCGAAGCCACTCTATCAATCCCATACAAAGAATACAATTATCAGCCAAGAGCGTTTCTAGCAAATCCCTTCCCTAGAATGACAATAAGACACACGAGTGGTACAACATGCTGTCTACTCGGTATGAGGAGAGACATGATGCGTCGGCAGAGCTGTCAAGACATCGAACGCACCCGTGCCAATCCTGCCCAAGCGGCCCATGACAATACGACTACTTGGTGTCCTGAGGTCGTCCCAGTCGCCATCAAGTACGGCGTCCTTCAAGAAAGAGAGAGTCGTCTCAAAACTCATCTTGGTGAAGGGGCTGACGTTTCCGCGCAAGCCATTACGGTTGAAGGGTGTGAAATCACCGTTGCGCGTCATATAATCGGCGATGAGATTCAAGTGTCTGTTGTCGACGCTGATGCCGTGGCCTCCGAAGACACCCCCTAATTCGGAAACAATGTTGTTCCGGCATGCCTCGACACCATACACATCCAGGACAGCTGCAATATCGTTGGTTGCAATCTTGTTTGGGTTGATGAAGTCACCATATTTTTGCATTGCCTTGAGGTTTGCACCCGATGTGTAGATTGCCGGCACCGAAATATCGTTGCCTGTAACGGGGTCCGTCGTCTTATGATCGGCCGTAAAGGTGCAAGAACCAACACCAGGAATCTGCTGAATGACCGACTTCTTGACTGCTGCTTGCACAATGTTGAGCATCAACACCTTGGGGGTATCAGCCTCAAACTCGAGTGTAAACTCGCACCATTCTCCGGCTTCATCGCTGCGGAACCGGGTAACACGGAGGTACCGTTGTTTCACACGCTCTGCTCTCCATCCACCTTCGCTTTCCGAATCATCATCATCTTCCTCGTCATCCGAGTTCTCCTTCCTGGCATCCGGTGGCGGGCTGCCCTCAAACCCTTCATCTTCGTCGACAGATGTCTCGCGCTCCATTTGTCGCTGAATGGCGTCGTCTTCGTCGTCATTAGGACCGTAGGAAACAGCTTCTTCCCGGTTCGCCTTTTGTTTGGCGTTTGTTGCGTCACCATCGCCATCATCATCGTCGTCGTCGTTATCGTCCCCACCACCTCTTGTCTCTCCGTTGCCTGTTGCCATTTCCACTACGCCAGCCTTAGCGCCAACATCCGGTGTGGCCGAGCTGGATTGACTGCGACGTTTCTTGATCTCCTTGACCATCATCTTCAGAAGATGATCCAAGAATCTCTTTTCGACGGTGTCCATCACATCGGACGTGTCAATTGCGTACGTCTTGGTGTATTCCTCGGCAGGGAAAAAGTTAAGGCGTACATCATAAAGCTTAGCCAAAGCGCCATCCTTGCCTTTTCCAACGCGCTCGTTAACAGTAGCTGTGTCCAGCACGTCAGCCAAGGGCAGAACACTAATGGATTTAGCAAAGATCTCTCCTTCAGTGGCGGAGAGTTCTTCGTGAAGGAAGAGAGTCATCGACGGTGTGGAAATGAATCGACTGGCCGTCATGAGAATTTCACGGAGACGAGGAATACCAAGTGTGACGTTTTTGGCCGAGTGCCCAGCCAAATGGAAGGTATTCAGTGTCATCTGCGTCGAAGGTTCACCCACACTCTGACCAGCGACGATGCCAACACCTTCGCCAGCCTCGACCAGTGACCTCATGTACTTAGCGGCAAGGACAAGTTCTGCCGTTTTCTTGCTAACAGCGGGTGCATTGATCAAACCCGACGGCGCGTTCGTCTTGTCTCGAACCAGGCCATCCTTGTTGTCCTTGATGTACTTTGTCATCTGCTCGTAGAATTTTTCTGATGTTGCGAATGCTACTCTTGCTGGATTGACAAGAGAAATAATTGGGTCCTTAGGGGCGTCGCTATTCAGCTTAGCATGCTTAATAGCACTCTTCATGTGCTTAAGAATTTCGTCTTTGCTGCCGGCGAATTTGTCCTTGAAGTCGTTGCTGAAGCCAAGCTGAGCGGTCTCGGAACTGATGTTGCGGAGGACGAATCCAAAATCTGACAAGTACTTCTGTTTGGTCGGATCCAACCCATCTTCACCGTAGAGAAACTGTACCAACGTGCCATCTGCATCACGAACCGTAGAATCATATGATACCGTTAGTCCCTCCATGCCCTTGATGATACATCGCTGCAAGTAGCCTGAACGGGAAGTTTTTACAGCGGTGTCGATGAGACCCTCGCGACCAGCCATATGATGGAAGTAGTACTCCTGGGGCCGGATGCCAGTCAAGAAACGCTGAACAATATAGCCACCAGCACGAACGTCCGTCTCGAAAGGCCGGAAGCAGGGCAGAGATTTTCCACTGACCATAAGTGGAACTCTCCTGCCCTCAAGGACCTGTTGTCCCAAGTTGCACGAAATGAGATTGGCATTGACCTGTCCACCTTTGGCGCCAGATGTCGTCATCGACTGCATCTGGTTCTTGGGGAATTGCTTGACCAAACCAATTGGCAAGCAGGCAGCTGTGACCAAACTTGAAACTTTTGCAGAGCTCTGGTTCATAAGCATATCAAGACCTTCTTGCTTGCTGTCGTCACGCATAACCTCCTCCAAGCGAGTAAGAAGCTCAGAATCTGTGCTGTTGGGTGTCTTTTCCTCAAGTGACACGTACTTAGCCGCAACCTCGAGGCCGATGTCCTTGGCTGCCTTGAGGGTTTCCCGTCTAGATTTCTCGCCTTCTGGAGTGAGTCTAAGATCATCCATACCACAAGTAAACGCCCGCATATTCAGGTACCTTGTGAGCAGTCGGCCCATACCACTCAAGAGCTTGCCTGCGACTGCGGGGCCGTATATCTCATGAATGGCATGAATCAAACCACCAGAGCTGGGACCAAGGTGCGCCTTGTCGAGAATACCGGACAAGAACTGCCCATCCTGGAATAAGACGGTTCCCTCTTCCGAGAACTTTCCCCATTGCTCGCCCTTGACTTGACTCTTACCAGTCATCCAGAGACCTTCGCCATTGAGGGGTTTGATGTTCTTTAAAATTGTAGTGACAACTTGCTTGCCTGTCCATCTTGGTACTGGTTTGATGATGGCCGGGGGGATGAGTTCGATTCGTTCGCCAAGAATATGGCCACTCTCTGGGCGCAAGGCAGAGTAAATAAGTTGTTGATAGGCATCGCGGTCGAAGAAGGTGTCCTTGTTACACAGCGCCACTGAAACTGAAAGATGGTCTTGAATCAAACCGCGAAGGGGCTTGCCGGCCGTTCCTGACAAGTACTGGTGGTCCGTGTCGGCGATCTGAAGAGCCTCGGCTCTGGCTACCTCATTTTGTGGGAAATGCATGTTCATCTCGTCTCCATCAAAGTCTGCATTGTACGTGTTGCAGTTGGCGTAGTGCATTCGAATCGTTTTCTCCCCAGGCAGCACACGGACCCGGTGGCCCATGATGGACGGCTTGTGCAAAGTTGGCTGACGGTTCATCAAAACCACATCGCCATTCGTCAGGTGTCGGTAGACCTTCTTGCTCTTCATGCCACTCATCTGATTGTTAGTCGGCGCAAGAAGTTGGTTGGCAAGTGATACACGATCATCAACAGATTTGGACCGCAGGTTAACAATCTGTCCATTCTCATACTCGATAGCCGCTGCACCGGGCCACTTGTCAACACCGTTGATAACGGCTTGCTGCATGTCTCTGAAGTTGTGACTTGTGACCGGCTCAGGATAGGTAAGCTTGCGAGCGAAGACAGGCGGCACACCAATCTCGTTGGTTTCAATGTTGGGGTCGGGGGAGATGACGCTTCGAGCCGCGAAGTTGACTCGCTTGCCCATCATGTTCTTTCTGAAAAGACCCTCCTTCTTTTCTAGCTTTTGCTTAATGCCGTCTTCGTTTCTCTTGGCGGCTGCGCCCTGCACTGGGTTCTTGCTCTTGTCAATCAAGGAGTTGACAGATTCTTGCAACTCGGTCCAGATTTGATGCAAATCGTTGATATCCCGCATTCTGCCGTACTGATCTGTACCCCCAACATTCTGATGTATTCTCGCAATGTTGCCGCAGTTCCGTAAGATCATTTTGTACAAAGAATTTTGCTGGGCTTCGGAGATTTGAGAGTCGCCTGTACGAGCTTCAGGGCGGAACTTGTTGGGAGGTACAAGAATAGTTCGGAGGAAGAACATGTCAGCTGTAACTTTAGCCGCCCTCTTAGTCATTGGTTTCGAGTTATAGACCAACGACATAATATCCTGCTCCTTCTCGAAGAGTTCTCTCAGGCGAGCCCGAACTTCCATCGCGCTGATGTATCGCTGTTGCCCTGGGGCAACCGTAACAGCATCCACACGGGATTGTTCTTCTTTGTCCGTTGGGTCACGCTCGTCGCTGCTGACGTCGCGCATTTCCACGTCGTTCTCTTCAGATGAAGCCATGTCAACGTCTGCAACGCCTTCGTCGGCGTGATTGGGGCTGCGCTTGGCCTTTGACTTCGGCAAGCGGGCCGAAGTAGCCATCGAATCCTTAAGATGCAAATTCCTTTGGGCCATATGGGCAAGGTCCCTTTCGCTGAGCGCCTTCTCAAAAATCTTAACGAAGCGATCCTTTCGGTAAGCAGGAGAGATACCGCCACAATTGTCGCATTTCCGAGGTTTGGTGATTTGCGTCATAAAATCTTTGATGAGCTCTCTCCGCATTTCAATCGATCCTTCGTGCTTGCCCTTCCGAACTTCACCAATGCTGAGCTTGTGAGCCTTAAGACTCTGGCGAACAAAGGCCTCGCGTGCACCAACGACATTGTCAACAGCAGACGTGCCTTCTTCCTCGGCCTCACTCTCGTAGTCGGTGGGTACTCCTGGCATCGCAAGTCCCTTGAGCTCCTCGCCGATGGCGTCAACTAAGTGGGCTTCGTGTAGAAGACCATGTTGTAATAGTCGCAATTTACAGGAGTAGCGGTTGATTTCGCGATGACGCATGCGAAAACCTTTGCAGTAGACACATTGAGATCTCAAAAGCCGGAGGACTTGGTCGAGAAAAATTGGGTGGTATACGGGCACAGGAAGCTCGATGTGGCCGGCGTGGCCAGGGCATGACGACTGATTCAGATTGCATGTCGCGCAGCTATAATGTAATTCATGAGTAAATTGAGACCGACAAAACTTGACCGAGATGGAACACATACAGAGCGTCGCCCCAGGAACCGAGGGCAGGATCATAGAGACCACCAGGAACGGGGTTAAGGAGGTTATCGAAAGTACTGTCGTTCTCAATTCGCTTGACAGAGATGGCTCTGATTTCTTCCTCGGTGAGGAAAGTAAACTCGACCGTCTCTACGGACGACGAGATGGGCTGTGAAATATTCATGGTGCTGGCGAAGCTTCAGCAATAAGCCAGACACCAATCTGAGTCCGTACAGAAGGCGAGGCCGAAAGAAGCAAATTTTCCATCCAACGTCCTGGCCGGAACAAACACCATTCGGTCGCAAAATCAACAAGCCCGGTGGGACAGATCAAGAGCGTCCGGCGGTGGCAGACAGAGGGGAACTTTTTTTTAGCGGTGGGTGGCGGCAAAAAAAGACCCGCATTCGGTGGATACTTTTCTGTCGGGTGCTACTAGTAGATTGACGGCAACACCATGTATTGTTCAATCTCTGAACTACCTTACATAAGGACCTATTGTGGTGCCTACCGAAGTGCACGCTCCTTCAGGTATCCACAAACACTGCAGCTTGGTGGTTGACAACGCAGTCCTCACGTCTACCTCTTGTCCCAGGCTATCTATCCACTACCACCCCTCAGCAATACATCAATTTGGCAATCAATGTTTGGCAATATTCGAATACATCACGCAACTCTTTTGGTAAATATTTCTGTTCGGAGCCCGTGCTGTTTAGAAACCGGCGTCCGCCCCCGGAACACCTTTTGACCTTGACGAAGGCTTCTCATCGTCGAGATCCATTTTTTCGCAACAACGAATAGGGAACTTCTTTCCCCATATACCCAATCACGATGGACCGACATTCAGACATGACGGGTCTAGGGCCTCGCCATGACCCAAATTCTCGAGTTCACAAGCCCGAATCAGCTGCTGATAAAATGGCCGCCTTGAAAGCAAGAGTCGCTGCAGCGATTGGAGGAAGTAAAGCGAAAGGAGGACTCAATGTCGGGCTACACCCTGCGCTCGAAGGTCTTGGTCAAGCCAAGCCTCCGGGCTGGACGAGCGATGGTAAACCGCCTCAACATCGGCCCCAGGTCGACTCCAATTCGTCCTCTGCCTCTGGTGCCAGAACGTCAGTCATGTCAGGGCGCGGTCAAGATAGCACACGATTGAACCCATATCTTAGCGAGCAACAGGCAACACAACAGGCAGGATCACGGCAGCGACAGTCTCGGCCACTGAATTTTCACCCCCGGGGCAAATTCATTCAACAAGCCAATGCACTGCGACGACAGGCTGCGTTGGAGGAAATGAAGAAAAGAATTGCGGCGCAAACAAGGAAGGCGGGCATCGATGAAGAAATGGACATGGAAAAAAACCTTGTGGTTGAAGCACCTCCAGAGATCGAGTGGTTCGATGAGGGGCTGGTTGATGGAAATTATGACAATATCAACGATGAAACTCGCCTGAAAATTGCGGCAGAGGATACCATTATCACCGAATATATTCAACACCCCGTTGCACTAGAGCCACCGCAGGAACGGAACATGCCGGCACCGAAAGCCATGTATCTGACTTCGAAAGAGCAGGCAAAACTTCGAAGGCAGAGGAGAATGGCCGAATTGAAGGAGCAGCAAGCAAAGATTAGGCTCGGACTTGTACCGGCTCCGCCTCCCAAGGTTAAGAAGAGCAACATGATGCGTGTCTACGCGGACTCGGCAGTCAAGGATCCAACGGCTGTGGAAAACCTTGTCAACCGTCAGATCGCGGAACGGCAACAAAAACACCTTGAAGCAAATGAGGATCGCAAGCTTACCAAAGAGGAGAAACACGAGAAACTGATTGCCAATCAGGAGAAGGACGCTGCCAAGGGAATCCATATCCTGGTGTTCAAGATCGACAGTCTTGCAAACGGACAGCACAGGTTCAAAATTGGAAAGAACGCCGAACAATACTCGCTCACTGGCATCTGTATCATGCATCCAAAAATGAATCTCGTCATTGTTGAAGGGGGCGAGCACAGCATCCGGAAGTACAAGCAGCTCATGCTCAACCGCATTAACTGGACCGAGAATTCACCGTCACGCGAAGGCACCATACAGCAAGAAGGTCGGGAGTGGCTGCTAGCAGAGAACGAGAAGGGTGACTTGAAGGACATGTCACAGAATGAGTGTAGGTTGGTTTTTGAGGGTGAAGAAAAGACAAGGGGTTTCCGCAAATGGGGAAGCAAGGTGTGTGAGTCCGATGCCGAGGCCAAGGATGTGTTGTCAAGGGCGAAGATGGACAACTTATGGGCACTTGCGAAGAATATGTAGAACATCCGGCTCCAGAGCAGCAAGTGTACATACCACAGCCGTTCTAAATAACAGGACGGCCAATATCAAGCCAACTAATAATGTAAATTGTTCACAATACGTTACGGATGACTACGTAACCACTAACACAATGAGGTTGTCAGGTGGCCCAGACTTAGCGTCTTTGAATATGACTCATACGATGATACATTTTACAATCTTTACCAGGCTAGTCGGCTGAGGTGACAAATGCAACCAACAGTACAATTCAGAGATCCCGAAAGACAATCAAGATTGCCCTGTTCAAATATTGCTCTCTGCTGTCGAGGAAATTTGAGCGCCAGCTTATGGGAAACCAAACGAAGGCTGCATACGTGGTGTGGTGAAATAGCTTGATCCGGATAGATGCACAAATTCTCCAACGTAAAAACAACATCATAGTCAACCAAACAATGAGGAAGAGGTAATGGATTTCACGACATAGAAACATAGAGAAAGAGACAGACTTCAAAAACGAAGGCGATAGCTTGAATGGCAATGGCGAGTTGTCACTCGTTCCGATAGCCGTCCCTAAATGTGCGCCCCATGTCGTTACTGTCACAATAACGCGTGGCGCAGACGCGCGCCATAAAATCGTCGCGGGGTCCTCTGTATTTCGGGGAGCAGTTGCGTCCCAGCACTCGAGCGCCCGGGGTGACAATCATGCCGCTTTGCTTTGTTCTCGTTTTATTTGTATTATACTTGCGACGCGGGCGTGGCATTCATTTCACAAAAGACGTCATTCGGGCACAACAAGGTAGATCATGAAGTTTATGGCATTCCATGCAGCCATCCTTTGCTGCTGTTTAATGTACAACCCTTGCGTTGTTTGTCAAACGCATTCGTAACGCCAGATTACCCCCAAAAACCAAAGACGGTCCCTTCGTCAAGCATTCCCAAACGCGAGTCATGAACCACCCATGAAAAGAGAAAATCGAAAGACAGGCTTAGTTGCGCTCACCGCGCAGGCGACGGGCAAGCTGGATGTCCTTGGACTGGATGGTGACACGCTTGGCGTGGATAGCGCAGAGGTTGGTGTCCTCGAAGAGAGAGACAAGGTACGACTCAACGGACTCCTGGAGAGCGCCGATGGCAGAGGACTGGAAGCGGAGGTCGGACTTGAAGTCCTGAGCAATCTCACGAACCTGGAGCACATTCGCGTTAGAACAGGTGGAAGCCATGCATTGGCGGGGCGGTGCTTACCAGACGCTGGAAGGGGAGCTTGCGGATCAGAAGCTCAGTCGACTTCTGGTAGCGACGGATCTCACGGAGAGCGACGGTACCGGGCTTGTAGCGGTGAGGCTTCTTGACACCTCCAGTGGAGGGGGCGCTCTTGCGGGCGGCCTTGGAAGCAAGCTGCTTACGAGGGGCCTTGCCACCAGTGGACTTACGAGCGGCTGTGGGAGCTTGTTAGATAAAATCGCGATGGCAGTACTGGATAGAATACTTACTCTGCTTAGTGCGAGCCATTGTATCTAATGAAATGTGATGAAAGTCGATGGGGTTGTTGGTTAAATGCTTTGTTGTTGGTTTGATTGAAGGCGGTGGATAGTTGTGAGTGGATGGGGGAAAGAAGTTCTGGAGTGGGTGGAGGGCGGAGGGAAATAAATAGGAAGGGAACTGGGCTGGGTGCAGAGGGGAGTGATTGTGTGCCAAAACGAAAGTGGCCTGTGCGGGCGTTCGAAAAATCCCTTTTTTGCAGGCGCGATTACTTTGAAAAAGGTAGGCGCAGTGGGCAGGTTATTGCGCTTTGTTGTCAGTGTATAGAAGTATGATTTTTGATTGGTTGGAAATCTGGCAGTATCTGTGACGCCACCCCGTCTTTCCAGGTCCCACGTTCCTAGGACCCGGCAGGTGCACTACGTATCTCAGACTAGCGATCCACCGGAGGCACTCTAGCGTCCCGCAAGGCACTTGCTTCCCCACTGAAGCTTCCTGCCTTCCCTGTCTGTGGGAAATGCGGGATGCGGCAGGCACGCCTCGCCTTACCTGACGCGGTGGCAGTGGGCGCGACATGGGATTGACCACTTCAACGCGGTTGAGTGTTTTACTGCCAATAATCCTCTCTGTTTTGAGCTGGTGCATTGTCACCAGTATCTCACTTATCATTAAGATCGAGGCTTTGCTTCAATTTGATCAACACCGTGGCTTAGGTATACCAAGGAGTAAATACATTGTGTCGTCTCAAATGCTCCCGGGTCTTGTTCCGTTGATTAAAAGCACACATAACGGGCACGTCTTTGCGATGCATCAAGAAACATTTCGCTCTGTATGGTACAGTCTGTGTTTCTCAAGAAGAAAAAATCTGCATGCGACAGACGCGTCACCAGTTTAAAGCTGTTAATGCGCGTTTTGACTACGCGATTGAAGACGGTGGACTCGGGGCTGGGTGCTATGTGAGACCTGACTTCTCCGAATCCATGACGACTACGATGGATCCGGGTGCAGAATTCTGGACCCTACTGCAACAGTAAACCTCAAAGCGAAAAGCGATCATCTATTGTACACATAAGGCTGCACAGTTGATGGGAACTCCCTCGTCAAATACCGTACATACCTGTCGGTGGATTTGTGGCAAGTCGAGGGAGCATAGCGGCAGCGGTGGAAAATAGAGCAAATGCCGCCTATGACCCATAATCATAGGCAGCTTGCGTCCGATTAATATTTGTCATCCACATTCAATAAGCGAGGTTCCTCTTCTATCTTGACGTAGGCAGAGTCAAAAGCATACTCGCAAAATGTAGTAAAGATACTACTGGTTTCTGATATTTAAGCCTGGCAAAAGTCGATCTTTGCCCTTCCGTTATGTGCAAGGTCATCGTCAGAAACGGCAACCGGTATGAGAGTCTGCTGCAAATTGGCTGTTTGTAGTATACGTCGTCAAAGACCTCCCCTTCCAGTAATCCCGGAATGCTTCAGGCATCGCACCAGTTCGGTTCCCAGGTCTTTCACCCAAACTATCCGAGCATGATGAGACGCTAGCTGGTTTGGTCCGGTACATGACATATGGTTAATTGGCCCTGCGCAGGGCAAACCAGACGGAATGGCGGGTGATGGTTGGCTGCATAATTTGTCTCCTTCTGTTTCAGTGGTCTGTGCCCCAAAAATGGCAGTTGTTGTTTTTTTTCGGGTCTCGTGTCGCGCTTTGCAGACAATACGTACCCGCTTTTCTGGCTGATCCCGATTCTCACCAGGCCCACGAACTGTTGATATAAATGCCGTCCCCCTCCTGCGCGTCCTTTGACGTGTTTCTTCATTATTCAGCCCCACGTTATCACACGCACACAATCTCACGCGCCTCCTATCCAGTCTCTTCAGGATTCTCGTAATCAGCCTTACACTTTAAGACCCCTAACTTTACCACCACAATGACTGGACGTACGTACCAATTTTCTATTCTTGACACTCCGCAATTTGTTCTGAGGTTGCATCCAAACTTGTGTATTAACTTCAACCTATAGGCGGCAAGGGCGGCAAGGGCCTCGGCAAGGGCGGTGCCAAGCGTCATCGCAAGATTCTTCGTGACAACATTCAGGGTATTACCAAGCCTGCTATCCGTCGTCTCGCTCGTCGTGGCGGTGTCAAGCGTATTTCTGCTAGTAAGTAGCCCTCCAGGTTTATTTAAACCGCAGCATGCTGACCTGCCTTGTTCAGTGATCTACGAGGAGACTCGTGGTGTTCTTAAGTCCTTCCTTGAGGGCGTTATCCGCGATGCCGTCACCTACACTGAGCACGCCAAGCGCAAGACCGTTACTTCTCTGGATGTTGTCTACGCGTTGAAGCGCCAAGGCCGCACCCTCTACGGTTTCGGTGGTTAAGCGTGTTTGTTCTTGCATGTCTGTTACGAATCTTTCTTGGGCCATGACGCGATCCACCTCACGGCGCGGTGGCACAAACGGACTTTGGAGTGGAGTGTTTTGTCACGAATGACTATGGGTTTGGCTGGTTTTTGGTGTTCTACTGTACCATACGGGAAACAAAGGGGTTCTACATGGATGGGTTGATTGGCTTGAGACGTAATCAATCCCTCGCCGAAGCACGTTCTGATCATTTTGCTACGTTTACGTTCCTCATCTGTGACACTACATGTGATGCACACAGCGTCTCTCATGTTTCGCTGTGTTGTGGGGCAGGCTACCATTAGGTGCGTGGTGGATTGTTTGCGTGCTTTACGATTAATGTTTCTATGCCATTGGGGCAACTAATGGTAGCGCCATGACACTTTGAGCATCGTTTTGGCCTGCACGGCATGTCGATACATATATTTCCGCTGTCAGCAAGAATCTGTGCAAGCCACTATCCGGATATGTACTATCGAATGCAATCTGCATAGATAGTTCCATGTGACTTTATAATGAAAATTATTATAACATTTTCACCAAGTGTCTACCCCATTTTTCTCCATGAAGCATCCATTTGTCACACAGCCCGGTCATGTGACCTGTTGCCAAATAAAGGCCTCTGCTCCGGTAGTCTCTCGACGCCAGCCTTGTCGCCCTGATTGCGCCTAACCTCCGTTGGTCTCCGCTACGCAGCTGCGACTGTCAGGCAGACTTGCACTGTCTCTTTTCCTCCCATTTAACTTGCGCTTGTTCGACTGTGGTATCGTATCCTGCATGTTGACTCTCGTATTGATGTATCGCCTTGATATCTGTAAATCCACTGTGTTTTAATTACATAGGGAATTCCAGACTGTGAATATGGTTATGCAGTCTCCCGATAATACCCCTCCCAGTACATCTTTCTCTGTCGAGGCGTACACGTGTCTCTGATTCCTTTGCGGCCTTGGTTATGTGCGAGTCAATGTAAAACAGCATAATGGGAATGCACAAAAGGTGAAATACAGACCTGGGTGATCGAGAAGCTAGAGGTAGCATACGAAAGCATAAAACCAAGCTCATCTAGACAGGCGTTCTAATAAATTGTTGTTGGGTTTGTTAGTTGCTAGTAATCCACGCTGAGGACCACACCTGGAATTAATATCACATAGGTGGCCTCAGGCTAATAACCTCGTTGGCATCGTATGACAACCTCAAACCATGCCCAGAAAACGAGGACAGGTGCAACACTACCTAGTGATGTCTAGGAAGAAACGTCTTGGTGGCCTTTAGGAACTGCGAGCAGGGCGAGGCACTGCGTGGCCACTTACACGGAAACCGCAGATATATCAGCAGAACCACACAAGCCATCCGCAATATGATTACCAAGGGATACTCCGAGCGCAAACCCAAGAAGTGATTCACGCTCCAAGTTGCTGTAGTTTGGGCTAGTCGCACCAATATCAAAGTTACTCCCATGTGCTGGACCGCTCTTTCTTACGTCTACAGCTTATCCACTGAGACACCCTGTAATCAATGCTTTTCGCAGACGTTGTGAAGATCAACAGTGCCAAAACCTCGTATAGTATCTCTGAGATATTGTATACGCGTCGACAGGAGATAATATCGCACGCTCTGCTCGTGGTAATTCACATCGTCGTGAAAAGAAAAGGTCCTTGTGACACTCTTCCGAGGAAGGGGACGTTAAAAGTACAAGCAGGGTGCGAGAGCCTCCCATGGTTCGATGCTCTTGCCCAGAGTGTGTATATAGATTCGCAAAAGCCATAGCAGTGGACAAATGGACTGAAGCCAAGCATACGTAACTCGGGAAAAGAACCAAGAAGCCACAAAGTGACAATTCGTCATATTGTCATGGGTGTAATAGTCTGCTACTCGGCTCAAGAATGGACCTTTATCCATGTTATACTTTGCACAAGGGCGCTGAATACTTGCATATCATACTGAGATGTCTCATCGTTGCTCTAAATGACAACATTCCGGCTGGAGAGGCTGCGGAAGAAAATCCCAATAAGCTCACGTAAGATACAATAGAAGATCCATAAAGGAAGACCTAAATAACAAAAGGCAATCGACGTCTGAGTAAAATCTTTCCCGGTAGAGAGGTTGTGAGCAAAATCGACCATCGTCGCTGTTCCGTATAAAATGTGACAAGAAGAGGATATCCCAGGGCTGTAGGCATGATGCTCAAAATGCTTAGCTACGACGTTAGTACGATAAATAATCCTACAGTGAATTCGTCGTCTGCCGTGTGAATCTTCAAGCTTTTCAATCTTGACCCTGGAGTCCATGTTGATGACACTAAACAAAGTACGGCAGTAGGCGAGAGTAGGAATGTTTGGATGGAAAGTGAGATATCCCATCGCAGATCAGGTCGAGATGAGCGAGCTGGGGCTCAATGGAAATCCAACTGTCCAGATGACACCAGTGCCGAAATGAATTGCGTGCTCTAAGAAATGTAAATCTCACAAGTTGAAACGTCTCTATCAATGATCCTCGAGTGACAGAAATGCAGTTTTATCTAGCCTACCTGGTCGATTGTCTGTCATCGCCATGTACTGGTCGCTTGCGTTTTGCCATGTACTGGTCGCTTGCGTTTTGCCATCGACCACTTATCCGCCAGCTTTCCTTGGG